CAGCCGGTTCGGTCAGGCCCCCCGAGTCTTTCCCCGTCGTGACCTAACACGTTCGTTACAGAAAAACAGGTGGTGTTTTCCACCCCACCCCCACCCTTTTTCTCTCTCTCTCTCTCTTTCCACGCCCGAGGGCCCCGGGATGATCACCCCACAGCAGGTTCCCGGGTCGCCCCCCCCCCCCCCCCGCGGCGTCGCGCGCGTCGCGTTCACTCCGTCTTCGCGTACGTCATGTACGGGTCCGCCGCCGCGGTGCTCACGTCCGGACGGTCCGCCTGTTTCCTCGCGAGGCAACGCTTGATGAACTCTTTGCACTCCGCGCTCACCTTGGGCGTCGCCGGGAACTCCACCTGCTGCGCGTTCAAGATGGTCCCCGCGTGTAAGATCTGCTCCTGGGACTGATCGTGCCCGAACGGCTTCCTGTCGTACAGCATCTGGTACAGAATCACGCCGCACGACCACGTGTCCACCTTTGACGAGATCTTCGGCGGCGCCGGGCCCGTCTCGAAACACTCCGGGGGCAGGTACCAGTACGTCCCCGCGCCCTGGGACGTGAGCTCCATGCCGCTGTCGCCGATCCCGCCGCCGAGGGCCCCGCCGCCGTCCATCTCTTTCGACAGACCGAAGTCGGTTATCTTCACCCTCCCGGCGGCGTCGAAGAGGATGTTCCCGGGTTTCAAGTCGTAGTGAATGACCGGCCGAGCGCCTCCGGCGAGGTAGTTTAACCCCGCGAACACCTGCGCGAGGATGATCCGCGCCTCCCGCTCCGCGATCGGCCCGTGCGCTTTCAGACGCGCGTCCAAGTCGTCCCCGGTGCACAGTTCCAACACGGTGCAGAACGAGTTTTGATCAACCTCGAACACGTCCACGTGCTTCACCACCGAGGAGTGATCCAAGCGCTTGTGTATCGAACACTCCCTGGTCGCGTGCCGGACGTACGTGCTCTTCCGCGCCTCGCTCCAGTGCTGCGACAGCTGATGCACCTTACACGCCACCTCGCGCATCTCCGCGACGTCGTACGCCTTGTACACCTCGCTGAACCCGCCTCTCCCGAGCATGTTCATGAGAACGTACCGACCGCCGAGCAGCGGGTGCTGGTTGAACCGCGAGCTGTCCTCGTCCCTCGCCCGCTTCAGCTCGCGTATGTGCGCGTTCTTCTCTCGCTCCAGCGCCTCGCGCTCGCGCGCGATCGCGTCTTCCTCGCGCTTGATCCCACCCACGCGCACCTTGTGCGCTTCCTCGGAGAGCACGTACTCCGCCTGCGCCGCCTGCGCCGCCTGCGCCGCCGCCGGGTCCGCGCTCGCCTCCGTGACCCCCGGCAGCGGCAGCCGTCGCTTCACGAGCTTCCGCTGCTGCTCCGCGGCCTCTTTCGCGTGCGTCAGCGACACCGCGCGCGCGTTCAGCTCCGCGAACGCTCGACCGTCCTCCCACACCTCTTGAAACGACCCGCCCGCGCGTTGCACGCTCACGACGCCCAGTCGTCCGCCCTCCTCCGCGAGCCGCGCGCGCGCGCGCTGGCGCTCGAACTGCGCGACGCTCACGGCGAGCCTCTTGACGCCCTCCACGCGCTCCGCGTCGCGCGCCTTGGCGTCCTCCGCGGTGGCTCTCTCGCGCTCGCGAGCGGACTCGAGCTCGGCTCGCAGCGCGTCGATCAGCGCCTCCGCGTCGACGAGTTTCCGCTCCGCCGCATCCGCGCGCGCCTTCTCCGCCTCCGCGGCTTTCGTCGCGCTCGCGCGCGCTTCCCGCAGCGCGGCGACCCACTCGTGATCCGCGCGCGCGGCCGCGCCTCGTCCCGCGGACGACGGACGGTCGCCCGCGCCGGGGGGGTAGTTTTCCTTTCGCTCCGATCCGCTCGCGGGGGTGGCGACCGCGCCCGCGAACGTCGATCCCGGCGGCGGCGGCGACGCCCCCGTGGGCTTGAAGTAGTCCGCGATCTTCGCGTCCGCGGCGGCGTGCTTGCCTTTATCCCCCAGCGGCGACGTCATCGCGTTGACGCCCGGCGCCGCCGGCGTCGCCGCGCCCGCCGCGTGCGCCGCGCTCGCGCCAGATCCTCCGCTTCGATGTTTCCGCTTCTTCCCGCCCCCGGCGCCTCCGCTCTCCGGGTTCGCGACGACGCCGAACGCGCGCAGGTCGTCGTCCGAGTCGTCGTCCTCGTCCGCGGCGCGCGAGCGCCCCGCGGCGCACGCGTCGCTCATCGTCCCGGAGCCCGGGAGCGGACCGGTGAGCCGCTCCTCGAGCAGCTTCAGCTTGCTCTCGTTCGAGTTGGCCGAGGAGAAGAAGACCTGCTCGTACGCCTCCTTCGCGCGATCTGACGGCACCCCGGGCGGCGTCATCGCGATCGTCGCGCGCGGCTCGCCGATCGGGACCGACGCGCGGTGGACGTCGACGCGCGGGGCGCGGGCGCGTGTGGATCGAAGCGCGGCCCGTGCCGACGCTCGTGCCCTGCGCGCGCGAGGGCGATGTGAGGCGAACATCTTCTGCGTTTTTTTAAATTGTTTGCGCCCGACGCGACGCGGGAACAGAACGAAGCGTAAGGTTATTGGTCCACTCGAGCGGCGGCGGCGGCGCGGGCGTCGAGTTCGTCGTCGCGTGTTCGGTATATACATTCAAAATTACAAACGTACTTCTCGCTCTCGTCATCACGGGCGTTCGTCGGTTCTTCTTCTTCTTCTTCTTCTTCTGCTTCTGCTTCTCTTTCGTCGTGGCCGGTCTTGCTTCGTCGTCTCGTCGTTCACTCTCGTCCTCTCTTTTTTCTCCGTAAACTTATCCGCTCGAGTCCGCGGGAGCGCTTTCGCTCCCTCCTCGTCATAATGTTACGCACGCTACGCGATCACTCGTAGTGCATCACGCTTCCTTGCTTGCTGCAATCCCCCGGGCGCACTTTCAGGTCCACGACGCCGCGGTGCCGCTCCGCGATCTGATCGAACGCGGCGTAGGACAAGTCCAAGTGCGTGGCGTCGCCGCAGCACCACCGCTTGTTCCCTTGGTTCGGGTGGTGGCACGGGCACGAGTCCGAGATCATCACGGTCACGGACTTCTTCCCGGCCTCCTGGCACCCAGCCCACGGCCCCAGATCGCTCCAGTCGTGCCCCCGCGTCCTCCCGTCCACGCACATCACCTCGTAGCACTGCCCGCATTTTTCCGTGAGGCCCCAGTCGTAGCCGCCGTCGGTGTGCCACGCGGTGACGAAGTGGTTCGTCACCTGGCCGAACCCGCAGCTGCCGGTGTAGATGGACATCCCGTCGGGGCCGGCGCCTCCGGGACCGCCGTACCTGTAGGGATGGATGGAAGGAGGGATGTCGTGAGCGACGGCGGCGGCGACGCGACGGGAACGACGTGTGGTGGACGAGTCTGTCTGCGCCGCGCACCAGGTCGCGCGCGCGTCGAGCCAGCCGTCCAGCTCGCCGAGTTCGCGTCGCGAGCGGTACTCGACCGTGACGTTGTGCGGCGGACGTTGTGGAATCTGGTCCGCGCGGTTCGCGAGGCGCGCGATCTCCGCGGCCTCCTCCGCGTCCGCGGCGTCGCGCGCGTCCGGGGCGCGCGCGACGCGCGGGAGGAAGCGCGCGACGCGCGAGAAGAACGAGGGGGGCGTCGACGACGACGCGTCCGCCGGCGGCGGCGCGGTCGTCGTCGCGGTTCCGTCCGCGGCGACGACGCGCGCGCTCGCGGCGAGGAGCGCGAGGCACGCCGCCGCCGCGAACGCGGCGGCGCGGCGCGAAGAGAACGTCGGCGTCGTGGTCATGGTCGCGGAAGCGCGCGGTGAGAAGGCGCGGGTCCGGTGAGCGGCTCGTGGCGTGCGCGCGAGGAGCGTCGGCGCGCGCGGTGTTCTCAGCGCGCGCGCGCGCGCTGCGGCCGGGGATCGACGGAGTTTAAAACCGAGACAGACGAGTGGGCGCCGCTGGCGGCGCGCTCTCGCGAGCCAATGAGCGCCGACGTGGCCGCGGGCGTGTGGTCGGCAACCGCGTTCGGCGCGTCCGAGAAGTGAACAGCTTGCAACTTGCCAGCGCGTGTTCAGCTTTCTGAAAAGTCTGTGAGGGAGGGGTTCACTGCTGCCTTTCGCGCTGTAATTTGATCGGGTTTTTTGTGCCGATGCGTGGCGGCATTCCGGCGATTTGNTNGGCTGGNGCGCGCTGCTTGNCCGCTGCCCGTTTTTCTTTTTGCGCTGCTTTCGCGCTGCCCGTCGCGCTGCCCGCGCGCTGCCCGCGTGACTGGTGACCGCGTGACCGCGCGCTGCCCCGCGCGCTGCCCGTCGCGCTGCCTTCGCGCTGCCTCGCCGCTCAAGGCAGCGCGAAGGCAGCGCGCGCCAGCCAATAAGAACGCCGGAATGCCGCCACGCATCGGCACAAAAAACCGACCCGAATTACAGCGCGAAAGGCAGCAGTGAACCCCTCCCTTCTGTGAAAAGTTCGTTCTGTTGAGTGTTTCCACCGAGACGCCGACACGCTGACGCCGCCCCTTCCGTCGACGTCACACCCGCGTCGCGCGCGATGGCGAGCGCGAACGACAGCGACGGCGACGATGAGCTCGTCTTCCAGCCGGCCGAGGGGTTCGTGTTCGACGTCAGCGACGACGAGGACGGCCCGGCGCAGCCGGCGTGGGACTTCTCGGGTGGGCGCCGACATCGAACATCCGTCCGTCCTTCGTCTCTCCCGTCCGTCCGCGGTCGCCGCGGGACTCGACGCGCCATCCGCTGACCATCCACTCCCCAACCCCTCGTCCACGCGCGCGCAGACGCTAAGGTGGAGGCGGAACGCGAGCTGAAAGCGTCGAAGATGACGTCCGTGGACGACAAGATCAAGAACGCGCTGAAGTCTGGGAAGGGAGGCGGCGGCGGCGGCGCGAAATCGACGAAGCGCGAGGCGCCGAGCGACGACGACAGCGACGACATCGACGACTCCGACTCCGAGGACGACAGCGCGGACGAGCGGCTCCCCGGGGAGGAGGAAGAAGAGACGGATAGCGACGAGGAAGAGATCGACGACGACGACGACGAGGAGGACGACGACGAGGAGGACGAATCCGAAGACGAGGAGGACGAATCCGAAGACGCGTCCGAGGAGGAAGCCGATTCCGACGCCGATTCAGACGAACCCGAGGAGGAAGAGGAGGAGGAGGAGGAGATCGAAGACGACGACGAAGACGACGACGAAGACGGCGACGACGCGGAGGAAGCGAAGCCCGCGCCGTCGACGAAACCGAAACCGCAGACGAAGACGCAGCTCCCCGAGGACGACGGCGTCTTCACCGAGCGCGAGAAGAAAAATAAAAAGGGCGCGGCGACGGAAGACGCGACGTTCAGCGCCGAGTCGTTCAACGACCTCAACCTCTCGCGGCAGCTCATTCGCGCGTGCACCGCGCTCGGGTACGACGTGCCGACGCCGATACAGGCCGCGGTCGTGCCGCTCGCGCTGACGGGGCGGGACATATGCGGCAGAGCGGTGACGGGGTCCGGGAAGACCGCCGCGTTTATGTTGCCGCTTCTGGAGCGGATGCTGCACCGCGGCGCGCGCGCGGCGGCGGCGACGCACGTCCTCGTCCTCGTCCCCACGCGCGAGCTCGCGGTGCAGGTGCATCAGATGACCATGCGCTTGGCGCAGTTCACGTCCATAAGAGCCGCGCTCGTCGTCGGCGGGTTATCCGCGAACACGCAGGCGGCGGAGTTGAGGACGCGGCCGGAGATTGTCGTCGCGACGCCCGGCCGACTGATCGACCACGTGCGCAACACGCACTCGGTCGGTCTCGAGGACCTCGCCGCGCTCGTGTTAGACGAGGCGGACAGACTCCTGGAGATGGGCTTTCTGGAGGAGATCCGCGAGATCGTGCGACACTGCCCGACGCGCAGGCAGACGATGCTGTTCAGCGCGACGTTGACGTCGGGGGTGCAAGAGCTCGCGGAGTTTAGCATGAAGCACCCCGCGCGTCTCTCCGCGGATCAGATTGGCACCACCCCGGGGACGCTGACCGAGGAGGTTCTGCGGTTGCGACCGGGCGCGGCGAGCATGAAAGAAGCGCACCTCATGGCGCTCGTGAATCGGACGTTCACGAAGAAGTCGATCGTGTTCTCTCGCACGAAGCAGCAGGCGCACCGACTGAAGATCGTGATGGGCCTCGCCGGGATCGTCGCCGCGGAGCTCCACGGGGATCTGTCGCAGACGCAGAGACTCGCCGCGCTCGAGAGCTTCCGCGTCGGCGAGGCGTCCCATCTCGTCGCAACGGACGTCGCCGCGCGAGGGCTCGACATCGCGGGCGTGGACGCGGTGATTTCGTACGACGCCCCGCGGACGCTCGCGTCGTACCTCCACAGAGTCGGACGCACGGCGCGGGCGGGGAAACGAGGCACCGCGTTGACGTTCATGGAAGAGAGCGACAGGAAGCTCGTGAAGGCGGTCTCCAAGCGCGGATCGAAGCTCGTCGCGCGGTCGCTGCCGAATCACGTCGTCGAGGAGTGGCACGCGAAGATAGAAGCCATGGCGGATCAGATCAAGGAGGTGGAGTACGAAGAGCGGGCGGAGAAGCACCTGAACCGAGCGGAGATGGAGGCGATCAAGGCGGAAAACTTGATGACGCACTCGAAGGAGATTCACGCCCGGCCGGCGAAGACGTGGTTCCAGTCCGAGCGGCAGAAGAAGACGCTGAACAAGGCGTCGCTGAAAGCGTCCGAGAGGGAAGACGTGGACGAGCTCGAGGACGTCGAAAAGGTGAAACGAGAGACGGGGAAAAAGAGCAAAAAGACGAAACGCGCGGAGAAGGAGGCGGCGGAGAAGGTCAAGCTCCCGGAGGGGAAGCGCGCGCGACGAGCGCTCGCGGAGGGGAAGATCCGCGAGAAAGAGAAGCGGATGTGGGGCGGGGACGACGAGCTCAGCGAGCAGATGATGAGCAAGCGCGCGGGGAAGACGATGGGCGGCGTCAAGAGCGTGAAACGGTTGGAACGCGAGGCGAGACTCACCGGCGGCGTCGCGACGAAGGTTTTGAAGGCTTTCAAGAAGGAAGTCGCGAAGGGGCGGAAGAAGCCGAAGCGCGCGAAGACGGACGACGACGACGACGACGACGGCGGCGGGATGTTCCAGAGGCACGGTCGCGGCGCGGATTACAAGGGGAAATCGCGAGGCGCGTTCGGGAACGGCCGCGACTTGAAGCCCGACGTGAAAAAGGCAAAGGGGAAAAAGTTCAAGAGCGCGTCGAAGCACAAGCGGAAGCGTTGATGATCGATAGCCTTTGTCGTGACATCGTCGTCGTCGTCGTCGTCGTCGTCGTTCTAAGTAACGCGCGTCCTCGGTCACGATTCGCGCGCCGCGACTACCGCCCCGCCTCCGCGAGCTGCCGCCTCGCCTCGACGAGCTGCGCGTTCAGGAGCGCGATCGCCTCGTCCTTCCGACTCGTCGCCGCCCTCGAGCGATTTTCAATCGCGGCGACTTCCTCATCCTTGAGCTTTCGCATGCGCACCAGGTCAATCTCCGCGCTCGCGGCGCGTCGCTCCGCGGCCGCCGCGGACCCCTCGAGCGTCTTCAACCTCTCCTCGAACGCGCCGCCGATCGCGCCCTCGCGCTTCAGCTTCTCCATCGCGTCCGCGAGCTGGGTCTCGAGCGAAGCCGCGCGGTCGTTCGCCGCCGCCTCCGCGCGCGCCGCCGCCGCGAGCGCGCGCTCAGCCTTGTCCGCGCGGTACTTCGCCTCCCTCGCCTCGGTCGCGTGTCTGTTCACGAGCGCGTCCGTCTGCGCGATCCTGTCGTCGTCGCTCTCCGCGCGCAGCCTAGACGCGACGGCTTCGATCTCCGCGTCTCGCTCCGCGGCGCACTTGGCGCGTATTTCCCGCTCGCGCTCCGCGAGCGCGGCTTGCGCTTTCGCGGTGACCTTCGCCCTCCACGTCGCGGACTCTTCGTCGAGACGGTCCTGTAAGGACGCGAGGTCGGCGTCGTGGCGCTTGCGCGCCGCCTCCGCGGCGGCCGCGGTCTCCCGCGCCGCGCGCGCGATCGTCTCGTCGTGCCTCGCGCGTTCCTCCGCCGCCGCCGTCGCGACTTTCAGACGCAACTCCTGCAGCTGCGTCTCGTACCGCTCCGCTTGCTCTCGCGACCGCGCGGACGCGACCGCGCGCTCTCTCTCGAGCTCGTCGTCGTGCTCGCGCGCGAGTTTCTCCTTCAACCCGCGCGCGGACTCCTCGTGCTCGGACGTCAGCGCCGCATGTTGCCTCCGCAGGTCCTCTCGAAGCGCGTCTTGCGCGTCCCGGAGTTCGTTCCGGTGCTTCGTCACCAGACGCTGAATCTCCGGCTCTAGCCCGCGAATCGTGAGCTCCTTCACCTCCCGCGTCTTCTCTATCTCCCACGCTTCGCGTTCGGACTCCCACTTCGCGCGGAGCTTCTTCATCTCGATCGCGGTCTCTTTTTTGATCGCCGCCGCCGTCGTTGCCGCTCGCGACTCCGCCTTTCTCAACGCCTCCCCCGTCTCTGCGAGCTTCCTAGAGAGCTCGTCCTTGTCCGCCAGGAGGCGGTCCGCGAAGTTTAAGTGCCTCGACGTCGCCGCGTCGTGCGTGTTCCTCTGCTCCGCGAGCTTCATCGCGATCTCCGCCGCGGCGCGGTCCCGCGACGCGATGAGCTCCACCTCGAGCTTCGCGATGACGTGCTCTTTGCGTTCGACGTCGCGCTTCAGCGCCTCCATCTTCGCGCGGACGCCCTCGTACACCGTGTTCGCAGCCTCGAGCGCGCCGGACGCGCCCCCGTCCGCGCTCGGCGTCAGCGCGCTATTCGCCGCGTGGTGGTGCGCGGACGACGCGAAGTGCGCGACGAGCGCCGCCGTCGCCGGCGTCGGCGGCGCCGGCACGCGCGGGTACGACGGCGACGCCCCCGCGGCTTGCTCCCAGATCCCCGTCACCGGCGGCACGGGGACGTCGTCGTCGCGCTCGACGGTGTCGAGGTACGACATGATCGACGAGAGCTTGTCCGCGTCGTCGGGCGCGGGCGCGGCGGCGTTGGCGGCGCGCGGCGGCGGCGTGAAGAGCGCGGCGTTCGTCGCCGCGACGCACGCGTCGACGGCGTTTCGTTCGAGCGTCGCCGCCGCCCGCGCCGCGGGGCTCGGCGGCGGAGGACCCGAGGGGGGTTCCGCGGCGTCCGTCGCGCCGAGACGAGACAGCGGCATGGGGAGCCGCGTCCTCGGTTCGCTCATCGGCGAGTCCCCGGTCGGCTTCGCGGGCGCGAGCGCGGGCGCGGTCTCTTCCTCCTCCTCCTCCTCCTCCTCCGCGGCCCGCTGCCTCGCCGCGAGCCACGCTTTCGCGTAGCGCTGAATGACGCGCGCGGCGACGTCGCGCAGGAACCTCCCGAAATCACCCCCGAGCGTCGGTTCCTCCTCCTCCTCCTCCTCCTCTTCTTCTTCGACGTCGGGTTCGCCCCCCGCGCGCTCCGGCTCCGCCGCCGGTCGGTTCGACGCCGCCGACGACGCCACCGTCGGCGGGCTCGAATTACTCCCGTGATCGCTCAGCGCGGTCAAGCTCTGCATGGACGACGTGAGCACACCCCGCGCGACCGCGGCTTTCCGTTTCACGTCCTCCGCGCGCGCTCTCGCGACGCGTCCGAGCGCCTTGGCGCGTTTGTTCGTCTCCGCCGCCTCGACGGCGGCTCGAATCGACGCGCGCTTCTTCTCGAGCAGCTCCCGCGCGCGCTCGCGCGTCTCCTCCTTCGCGCGCGCGCGCTCCCGGAACGACCTCTGGATCGTCGTCGCCGCGGCCGTCGCCGCCGCGCCGGACGCGATCGCGACCGGCGGGGCGGCGAAAGTGAAGTCGTCGTCGTCGTCGTCGTCGTCGTCGTCGACGTCGTCGTCCTCCATCGCTCCGAGCGTCGGGCTCTTCGACAGCGGCGAAGGCGAAGGCGAAGAGCCCGAAGAGCCCGAAGGCGACGCGCGCGCTCTCACCGCGACCGGGGAGGTGACGCCCTTGCGCAGCGGGCTGCCTCGGAGCACCGCGTTCGACTTGACGCGATACGTCGCGTTCGCGCCGCCCTGGAGCGCGCGTCGGGGAGGAGGAACGGGAGCGTCGGTCGAGATTTCAAGCGAGAGGAGGCACGCGCGCGGTGACGCGTCCGCGGAACGGAGCGAGGGGTTCGAGAGTCGTCGGCCGCGTCGCGCACCTTGAGCGGGGATCGGTCCGCGCTTCTCGACGCGTTCGGCGTCGTCCTGTTCTCTTTCCCGCCGGGGGACATCACGCCGAGGGACTTCGCGACGCGCCTCGCCGCCCCGGAGGACCCGGCGATGGTTTTTTTCCCATCGTCGCCGAGCAGCGCCGCGGCGTCGCGCGTCGCGTCCGCGGAGCGCGCCGCTCGCGGTCCTCCTCCGCGGCCACCCGCGACGAGAGGCTTCCGCGTCGTCGTCGCGGTCGGACCCCCCGCGCTCGGCGCGCTCTTCCGCACGCGCGAGCTCATCCTCGCGACGGCTCGGCGCGCTGTGAGCGCGGCGAACGACGAGCGTTGGAAACGGTAACTTCTCTCTCCGCTGGTCGAGTCGTTGTTCTGTTCGTATTTTGTCTGACAGGATTTTTATGCGGGACTCAGCAGGATAAACCGTCGTTTCATGAGTTAATGTTGTACACATGTGCACCTTTTTTTATGACTAATTGCTCCTGCGAGAGTGTCGGACCCAAAAAAAAATCCACGTCGACTTTTCAGGGTTTAATTTACCGCGAACCAATGCGGACGTGGCACCGTTGTTTCCCGCTCCGCCTCTTCTTTCGTCGGCGACGCACGTTGCCACGCGCGCGCCGCTCGCCGCGCGAGAACGAGCGGCGCGTCCCCGCGGACGGACGCGCGAACGCGGAGGAGCGAGGCGGGCACGCTCGCGGGCGAATCCGAGAGCGGCGGGAGCGAAAGCGGCGCGCGGAAGAGACGCGCAGCGCGCGTGATCGCGCGCGCGATCGGCGTGGGCCCGTCGCGTCTCGAAGCGTCTCGAAGCGTCGGGCGTCGAGCGATCGCCGCGCGCGCGGTCGCGCGCGGAGAACGACAGCATGTCGTGCCGCGCGTACGCCGCGGCGACGACGGCCGCGGCCGCGACCGCGAATCGTCGATGCGACGGCGCGAGCGCGCGCGGCGGACCCGCGGGCGCGCGCGCCGCGCGCGTCGGCGCGCTCCGCCCGTCTTTCGGGCGCGCGGTGGGACGCCGCGCGCTGCCGCCGTCGTTCCGCGCGATGCGAAGCGACCCGAGCGTGACGATGCGCTCGAGCGCGGACACGGACGACGGCGGCGGGAGCGGGAGCGACGGAAAGGAGGATCTGAAGAAGTCGCCGCCGCGGCGGGACACCGGGATCGCGCCCGAGCAAGAGGTCGGGATCGACCTCGACGGCGACCACGCGAACGGCGTGGACGCGGACGGGAACGCGGTGTTTCGCAAATCCGGCGTCGACGTCGGCGATCACGGGTACCGGTGCCGATGGACGATCCAAGGACGAAGCGCGCAGGACGCGAGCTGGGAAACGCGAGAGACGCACTGGGAGAAGTGCGACGCGTCCGGGTTCAAAGAGCTCGGCGCGGAGAAGTCCGGGTTCAACGAAGACGGCGACACGTGGTGGGAGACGTGGAAAGAGGTGTACCGCGTGGAACGCGACGATCGAGACGACGACTCCGGGCCGATCCGCGCGGAGTTCATCGAGAGGAGCGCGGACAAGTGGGCGCGCGATAAGACCAACCACGAGTGGCACGAGAAGTGGTGGGAGCAGTACTCCCCGAGCGGGTACGTCGAGCGACAGGTGGAGAAGAGCGGACTGCACGGCGCGCAGGCGTGGTGGGAGAAGTGGGGCGAGCAGCACGGCGCCGACGGCGGGGAGACGAGGAAGTGGACGGACAAGTGGGCGCAGAACGGCGCGGGGACACGGTGGGGGGACAAGTGGGAGGAGCGGTTCAGCGCGGACTGCATAAGTGGGGATAAGAAGGGCGAGACGTGGCGCGTGGCCGCGAGCGGCGAGCGGTGGTCGAGGACGTGGGGGGAGACCATCGACAGCAGCGGCGAGGTGAGGAAATACGGCGAGTCCACGACGGGGGAGACGTGGGACAAGACGGAGACGCTGGAGAAGTTTTACTACGACCGCACGCCGGAGTACTCGTGGGACGACATTAAGAACATCTCGAAGCGGCTGCTGTCCATCGAGACCCCGGACGAGAAGGACGAGTGAGGAGGAGGGTCGACGGACGGGACGACGGCGCCCTGTACGAGTATCAACACACAGCAGCACGCGGCGATTTTTTATTCACAAAACAGCAAGCAAGAGCTCTCGAATCGTCGGTCGCCGCTACCACTCCACCGTCGGCGCGCCCGCGACGTCGCGCGCCTTCACCGCGAGCTCCTCCTTGCACTCCTTATCGAGCGCGTCCCAGAACGTCGCGTTGAACGTGTCCACCGCGCCCTTCATCGACGTCAGCTCGTACTCGTCCTCCGCGCCCGCGGCGCCCCCCGCGGCGTCGAGCTCGTTCAGCATCTGCGCGACGGTCGGCACCGTCATGGGGTCGAACGACTCCGCCTTCGCGGGGTCCATCGGGACGCACACGCGCCCCGTCTTCGGATGCACGCAGAACGGCGCCTTGAGAAGGTGGTTCATGTGCTTGGACACCTCCACGTCCAGACGCGGATAGGCGTGCGCGAAGACGACGTCGAAGAGACACCGCTTCATCTCGAACGAGGACTGTTTCCCGGACTTCCCGGGGTTGTTCGCGGCGTCCACCTTCTGGACGAGCTTGTTCCACCGCGCGACGCTCTCGTCGGGGCACGCCGAGGTGGCGAATTTCTTCCCGGACTTCCACTGCGACGCGAACTCGTCGCGGATGTTCGCGTCGGGAATCATCGCGAGGATGGGCTCGAAAAACTTTTCATCCTCGAGCAAGCCTTGGTTCGGCAAGATCGTGTCCGTCCAGTACGGCGCTAACACGTCGTCGTACGCGCGCTTCAACGACGGGTGCAGCGGCGTCGTGAGCGACACGCGCTTCACCGTGCCGCTCGCGTCCGTGCCCTTGTACACGGAGAAGTACTCCGCGACGGCGGCTCTCGCCTCGTTGGACATGGACCGCGCGCGCTTGTCGCAGACCCAGACGTGAATCCCGCGGCGGCCGGAGTAGACCCACAGGAGGTGCTTGAACCCAAAGTCCTCCCGCAGCGCGCGGTCGATGATCTTCACCGCGATCGTCATCAGCGGCCAGCACTTATTGCAGATGTTCGCGCTCGAGCAGCACGATCGCACGTCGTCGTAATCCGTCATGTCGATGTCCATCACGAACTCTCTCTCCACGGGGGCGAAGACGCGGTCGCCGCCCGCGCCGCCGGCGCCGTACGCCATGCGCTTCGCCGGGTCCACGTTGAACACCGGCCCGAGGTCGATCTTCGACGGCGTCTTGTCCTTCAGCGCCGCGCGCAGCTCCTTCTCGTCTTTGAACGATTGGTACCGGCAGAAGATGTCTCCGTCCAGCGTGAAGCAAAACTCCCTCCTCTGCGTGAACCCGGCGTCTGCCTGCGGGTGCTTCCCGTCGTTGCCGTAGGACAACCACTTCATCATCGACCGCGCGGGGAAAAGGCGCGCGTAGTACAGCTTCATGAGGTCGTGCACGTCGCCCTCCGCGTACGTGTTCGCGCCCTTCGCGGTGTTTTCTTTATCGTCCGTCTCCATGTCGCCCGCGCCCGCCCCGGCGTCGACCTTGGGCTTCTTCGCCGCGGGGGCCGCGGGGTGCGACGCGGTCGCCATGGCTTCTGTTCTCGAGTCGAAGCGCGTCGACGTGAACGACGGAGCGGCGGGCTCGCGTCTGTCGAAGTGCGCGCGAGATCGATCTCCCGGGGTGCCTCATCTTTCTCGTTTTTATTTTTTCAAAAAAAGTGCGCGCGATTTTTGAAACCGCGTCCGATCGGTCAACGCGAAACCGAAGCGCGCGTCGGTTGACCCCGCGTCACCGTGAGCGTCAGTCAGCGTATCTTCGCGCTTCGATCTGGGCCGCCAGCTGGCAGTGAGCGTGAATCTTCGTTGTTGAACCGCGTCGTCCGCGCGCACTCCCGCGCGCGGCCGACGCACGCTCGATGAAAGTCCCCTCGTGCCTGCGACCGAGCATGACCGACGACGAGAACCCCGCGAAGCGCGCGAAGAAGTCGGCGAGCTCGCTCGAGGGCAACCGCGCGTCGTTCACCGCGGAGGAGAACGCGCTCGTCGACGCCCTGATCGCGTGCGGTCAACACCACCTCTTCGAGGCGTGGCCCGAGGCCGGGACGCGCGACGACGACAAGCGCCGCTTCCTCGCGCAGGCGAAAACGTGCGACGACGGCTACCCCGGCGGGATCGCCGCGTACGTGAAGAACGCGAAGAAGCTCCTGAGCGACAGCAAGGAGGGCGTGAACCCGTTCGACGGATGGACGCCGTCCGTGCCCGACGGCGTCGTCGTCGAGTACGCCTCGGACGAGCACCTCGAGCTCGAGAAGGCAGGGATGGAGGAGATCGGCAGCGCAGCGTTCGTGCTCGTCGCCGGCGGCCTCGGCGAACGCCTAGGGTACAGCGGCATCAAGGTGGAGCTCCCCGCGGAGAGGACGACGGACGCGTGCTACCTTCAAAACTATATTCACGCCATCCTCGCGTTGCAGTCGAGAGCGGCGGGCGAGATGCCCGCGCACCGAAGCGCGAAAGGCGTGGGGATTCCGCTCGCGATCATGACCTCCGACGATACGCACGCGAAGACGCTCGACCTCCTCGAGAGGAACGACTACTTCGGCGCGAAACCGACGCAGGTGACGCTCATCAAGCAAGAGAAGGTGCCGTGCCTCGTCGACAACGACGCGCGACTCGCGCTCGACGCGAAAGACCCGTACAAGCTCCAGACGAAGCCTCACGGCCACGGCGACGTCCACGCGCTTCTGCACACGTCCGGCTTGCTGTCGAGATGGTCCGCCGCGGGGAAGAAGTGGGTCGTGTTCTTCCAAGACACGAACTCGTTGGTCATGAAGGTGGTCCCCGGCGCGCTCGGCGTGTCCAAGGAGAAGAAATTCGTGTTCAACTCGCTGTGCGTGCCGCGCAAGGCGAAGGAGGCGATCGGCGCGATCGCGGAGCTGACGCACGTGGACGGGCGAAAGATGACCGTGAACGTGGAGTACAACCAGCTCGACCCGCTCCTGCGCGCGACGATCAACAAGGACGGCGACGTGAACAACGACGCGGGGGCGTCGCCGTTTCCGGGGAACATCAACCAGCTCATCGTGTCGCTTCCAGAGTACAAGACGCAGCTCGAGAAGACGGGCGGGCAGATCGAGGAGTTCGTGAACCCGAAGTACAAGGACGACACGAAGACGACATTCAAGTCCCCGACGCGGTTGGAGTGCATGATGCAGGACTACCCGAAGAGCCTCGACGCGGACGCCGTCGTCGGCTTCACCGTCTTCGACAACTGGGTCGGGTACTCGCCCGTGAAGAACTCGCCCGCGGACGGCGTCGCGAAGTTCAAGTCCGGGAACGCGACGCACACGGCGACGTCCGGAGAGATGGAGGTGTACGGCTGCAACGCGAAGCTCCTGTCTCTCGCGGGCGCGAAGATCGCGGCGCCGAAGGACGTGACGTTCAACGACGTCGTCGTGCCCGCCGGCCCGCGCGTGTGCCTGCACCCGACGTTCGCGTGCACGTTCAACGAGCTCAAAGGGAAGGTGGGCGGCGGCGTGACGATCGAAACCCCGGAGAGCGTCCTCGTCGTGGAAGGCGCGGGGGTTCGGTTGGAGAACCTGAAGCTGGACGGCGCGCTCGTGATCAAGGCGTGCTCGGGCGCGACGGTGACGGTGAACGGCCTCGAGGTGAAGAACGAGGGGTGGACGTGGAAGAAGGCGCCGGCTGACGCGGACGAGGTGGACGCGCTCAGGGGGTTCGTGATCGAGAGAGGCGAGACCGCAGAGTACGTGTTCGACACCCCGGGGACGTACGAGTTGCCGTGAGGGGGGTCTGTCCTTCGGGGCGCGGGCGCGTGACGTGGGGCTATCATATTACCAACGACGCCGACTCGAAAAAAAATTCCTCCCGTCCCGTCAGCGTCGGTCAGGTCCTGTCTGGTCCTTCCTTCCCGCTCCTGTCCCTTTTCCGGAAGTGCGCGACCCGAGCGTCGCGCACTGCCCGCGGCGCCCGCGCGTCGGGCCCCGGTTCGCTCGCCCCCCGCGCGCGTCGTCGTCTTCGTCGTCGTGTCCACGCCTCGGTCGTCATGGGCGGCGAGGCGAAACCCCTGCCGCCTCCGCGGTCGCAGTACCACGCGGAGCGCATCCGCGACGTCTTCACGCAGCTCGACGTCAACGGGAAAGGGATCTTGTCGTTCGACGAGATCAGGCTAGGCTTAGAGAGAGAAGGGTTCGACTGGGTGCGTCTCGCGTCGGAATCCTTCCCGAGCGCGATGACTCTCCGCGCGATTCGTCCGCGCGCGACGTCACCGTCGTCCGCGTCGCGTCGCGTCGGCGCGTCGCTCGTCGCCGTTCCCCTCCCCTCGCCGTGCCCATTTTGGATGCGACGTCCCGTCCCCCGTCGCCGACGCCTCACCGCCCCACCTCGCCCCCCCCCAAAAAAAACTCCGCAGTCGCTCGCGAACCTCGACGGGAAGAAGGTGACGCGCGCGATCGCGCTCGAGGCGTCCAGCGCGGGTCACGAGACGGTCGACTTCGACGCGTTCTGGGAGTTTTGCATCATGTCCGGGGAGAAGCCCGGCGTGGACCCGGTGCTGGACGCGCACGCGTACCTCACCGAACACAAAGTCGTCGCGATCGTGGAGGGAATGACCGCGGCGCTCATGGTGGCCAAACCGGAGGACGTGAAACCGTTCTTGGTGGAGCGGTTAGAGCGGTTGAAAGCGAGCGGGACGCCGGTGAACCACTTCACGGACGAGGACCTCGCGACGATGTTCGACGTCTTCGACGTCTCCCGCCACGGCGCAATCACCGCGGCGCAGTGTAACCGCGCGCTGAAGGCGTTGACGGGGCGCGACGGCGAGGTCAGGGGTGGGGTGGACGAGAGCGTCGCGACGGTGACGATGCGGGCGTTCATCAAGCACGCGAGGGCGGCGCTGGACGACCACTGCTCGTGATGCGCGCGTAGTATAAGCTAAGTTTTCGTTATTCTTCGATCGTCGCTAGGATCCCCCCCCGCCTCGCGCGTCAGTCGTCGAACCCTCCCGCCCGCGCTTTCTCGCCCTGCTTCCCGTTGAGGATCATGATGAACAGCCCGCCGACGCCGAAGAGCGCGGCCGTCCAAATCTGCTTCGTGTCCGCGTCGTGCGCACGCCGGTTCACCACCGACGCGACCGCGAGCAGCGCCCCCGTCCAGCAGAAAATCTTCCTCCCGCCGAGCATGACGCCGAGAAGCGAGAGCATCAGCGCGAAGAGAGAGTACCCGTCCTGCGCGAGCTCCGCCTCCGTGAGCGTCGGACGCTTGAACCGCACGATCCCCTCGGGATCGCGCGGATCCTCCTCCAGCTTCACGCCCTTCGCGAGCACCATCGTTGTGAGGGCCGATCGTTCGGTGAGTGGAAGTTCCTTTCTGTCTGGTTTCAGACTGGATGCATCGGCTCGTAGTTTTCGCTGGTGGACGTCGAGCCGCCACAGCCCAACGCGCCGCGCGTCATGGACGGCGACGACGTCGACGACGTCGGGGACGACCCCGGCGACGACGCGAAGCCGTTCGCGTCGAGAGATCGCGACCTGTACGCGAACCTGAACGTGTCGCGCGACGCGAGCGCGGACGACATCAAGCGCGCGTATCGCGCGCTCGCGCAGGTTGCCCACCCGGACAAGCACTTCTCTCCGGCGTCGCGCGAGGCGGCGTCCAAGTCGTTCAACAAGCTGAACGAGGCGTACGAGATCTTGTCGTGCGCGGACCGACGGCGCGTGTACGACGTTTACGGCATGGCGGGTCTGGAGGCGGGTCTGGAGATCGGACATCGGAACAAGACGCTCGCGGAGATCACGGACGAGTTCGAACGCGCGAGGGCGAAGGAAGCGCGGAAGCGCGCGGAGGCGAAGCTGAACTTCCGCGGGACGTACGGCTTCAGCTTCAGCGCCGCGCACCTCGTGGACGCGGACATCGCGCGGCGCAGAGAAGCGCTCGCGGCGAAGAGGAACGCGCAGCTGTCGCCGTTCGTGGACATGAACGGAGTCGACTTCAACTCCGTGTTCGACGTCCCGCTGACCGAGGACGGCTCCACGGCGGCGTTCATCGGCGCGCAAGGGCAGATGGTCAGAGGCATGGGCGCGGGAGGGCTCATCTTAGGGATGCGGAGCCAGCTGGACGAGCACACGAGCGCGGAGTGCGTCGCGGTGACGGGCTCGAATCAGTCCGCGGCGACGGCGTCCGTCTCTCGCGCGCTCTCCGAGCACTCGTCCGGGACGTTGACGTACTCGCTGACGCAGCGAGGGATAGGCCTAGAGGTTGGCGCGCAGAGGGTGTTAGGGAAGTACTCGAAAGGGCACTTGACGTGGAACGTCGGCCCGGTGGGGGGGATGACGACGGGGATGCAGAGAGCGAAGGAGAAGCACGCGTGGAAGTTTGACGTCTCCGTCGGACCGCAAAACGCGGGCGTCGGCGGGTTCATCTCGCGCAAGCTGTCGAAGATGAGCACGTTCCGTCTCGGCGTTCGGATCGGCAGCGCCGCGATGGACGTCGACCTGATGTGCGTCAGGAAAATCAACCAGGAGACGAGCGTCGGGTTCAGCGTCAGCTTGGGGGTTCGCGGCGCGCACTGGAAGTTTCGATTCACGCACAACGGGCAAAAGTTTCTGCTCCCGGTGCTCATCTCCCCGAGACTGACCCCGACGTTGGCGCTGTGCGCGGTGACGATCCCGACGATCGTCATCGCGGCGATGAAGACCTACGTCGTCGAGCCGATCGCGACGCGGAAGGTGGAGGCGAAGCAGAGAGCGCTGAGGGCGAAATACGCGGAGAGGGTGAGGGAGAGCAAAGCGGAAGCCGCGAACACGGCGGCGCTGTTGTTCGACCAAGCGGAGGCGCGCACGGCGAGGGAGCGCGAGAACGGCGGGCTCGTGATCGAGTGCGCGGCGTACGGGCACTTCCCGGAGCGCGGGCCGCCGAGGAGTTTGGACGAGCCGTTCGTCCCGGGGTGGGGCGCGGACGCGCGCGAGGAAGAGACGGAGAAGGCGGCGGCGGCGGCGGACGGCGAGCCCGCTCCGGGGATGGAGGCGGCGTCGGCGCCGAAGCCGAGGCCGACGCCGTGGTTGGACGTGACGACCGCGACGCGGTTCATGGTCTTCGACAGCGCGCTCGACGTCCTCGAGGGCACGCACAAGGCGTCGTTGTTGGGGTACTGCGATCCGTGCCCCGGAGAGGACGCGTTTTTACGCGTGCGGTACCTGTACCGAGAGAAGCTGCACGAGGTCACCGTCGGCGAGGACGACGAGCTGACGCTGCCGAACGCGAAGCATCAGCTCCCGGCGGCGTTGCAGAAGGAAGCGGCTGCGGCGGCGCGCGGGAAGTCGAAGACGGCGTGACGCGCGTTCGTCGCGTCATCACTGTTACGACGTTACCGCTAGCCGACGAATTCAAACTTCGCTCGCGCTCGTCGTCACACCGCGGAGCACGTCAGCGGATCGATCGCCTCCCCGCCTCTCCTCACCTCGAAGTGCAGATGCGGCCCGAAACTCCGCCCGGTGTTCCCCACCGTCGCGACGCACTGCCCCGCGCGAACGACGTCCCCGACCTGCGCCTCGATCTTTTGACAGTGCGCGTACCTCGTCGACCATCCCTCGCCGTGGTCAATCTTCAGCAGCCACCCGTACCCGGTCTCGTCGTACGTCCGCTCGTACACCCTTCCTCGCGCGGCGGCGCGTATGCGCGTCCCCTCGTTCGCGGCGACGTCCACGCCCGCGTGCATGCGGTCCCACCGCATCCCGAACCCGCTGGCGATGAACGGGTTGTTCTTCACGCACACCGGGTTGACGAACGACGGGTGCCACCGCCGCGCCGAGTCGGACGCGCGTCTCCGGTGCTCCCACTGCATCGTCCGCGTCTTCGGCCGCGTCTCCGACGTCACCGCGCGCGGGTTCGCGTTCCCCTCGCAGTCCCTGCCGACGACCGCGTCCGCGGTGGACGCCGCCCTCGCGATCTCTTTCCCCGTGCAAGCATCGCCGCCGCCGCCGCCGTCGCGTCTGCCGCCGCGGCCCAACCCGATTCTTCTCCCGAAGAACGCTCTCCCTTCCTCGCCGCGCGGCTCCCACCGCCACCCCCACGCGCGCCACATCCTGTCCGCGTTCGTCACCTTGATGTACCCGCGCGCGTTTACCTCCGCGGTGGACTGAAACAAGTGCCGACGCGTGCGGCGACGCAGACGCGGGCATCGCTCCGAGGCGTCGAGCGGCGCGACGCGCAGCGTCTCCCCGGTGTCCAACGCGTCCGAGGTGATCCCGTTCATGCGCTGCAGCGCGCGGACGGACAGGCCGTTGTCCTGCGCGATGGACGCGAGGCTCTCGCCGCGTTTTACAGTAACGCACTGCGTCGAGCCGTTTCCGTTTCCGTTTCCGTTTCCGTTTGGACCCCCACCCCCGTCCCCGCCGCCCGCGCGACCGCCGAGGACGCGTCGCGCGCCGGGGACTAATCCGAACGCGGCGCCGACGCCCGCGCTGACGAGACCCCACGCGCCCTTCAGGGCCTCGTCCGGCCCGCGCGCGACCGCGGAGACGACACCGAAGATCGCGCTCGACAGCGGGTCCGGCCCGGAGGTGGACCGGCGCGTCGGCGCGTGGTTCGAAGACGTCGACGACGCGACCGCGCCGCGTCTCGATCTTCTCGACGTCTTCTTCCCTCTCCGGGCCCCGCGCGTCCCGTTCCCGTCCCGCGGCGACGCGACCCTGAGCACCGCGCCCGGGTGAATCACGCTGTCCGCTCTCAGGCCGTTCAGCAGCAGTATGCTCTCGACCGGGACGTCGTACACGTCGGAGATCATGTGCAGCGAGTCCCCCGGCGCGACCACGTGCGTGCGCGCGAAGAGCGGCGAGGGCACGCGCAGGACGTCGCCGGGGTACAAGATGCTGTCGGGGTGCAGGTCGTTCACGTGCTCGATCGTGAACACCGGGACGCCGTACACGCCCGCGATCATCCCGAGGGTGTCGCCTTCGGCCACGACGTGCGTCTCCGGGGTGTGCGACTCCGCGGCGATGTGCATCGCGCGGCGATCCTCGTCGAGGTCATCATTCGGGGCGCTTTTCGACGGCATCGATCGTCCGCTGCTTCCCCTCCTTCCGCCGCGGGGGGACGAGGACGTCCCTGGGGAGCCGAACGCGGCGTCCGCCGCGGGCGCGCCGGGGGAGATCGCGAGCGACAGCGACGCGAGCTCCTCCGCCATCCCCGCGGGCGCCGGGTTGTGGCGCGTCCGTCTCCGCGCTCGTCGCGTCGTCGAGCCGTTCGTGACATCCATCGCATCGATCGCGCTTTTTCAGATCCGTTCAGCGTTCGCGCGATAAATCTCGAAAAAATACGTATCTATGATTCGCGCGCGCTCACTGCCGCCGCCGCTTCCCTCCGCCGTCCGCGTCGTCCCCCACCCCTCGTCGCAGATCCTCCCCGCCGTCAACCAGAAGCTCGCGCCCTCTGCCCTCGATCTCGAACACGCCCATGACCTCCCCTCCCGCTTTGACGATCATCTCATCCGCTAAGGGTCGTTCCATACAAAAAAAGTTCACCGGTCAGTTGAAAGGAGACGCGATCAAGTGTTGAAACCGAGCGATGGGTGAAAAACGTTTGTATAGAACGCACCTAAGTTAACCGTCGGACACGCGTGCTCCGGTATCACGAAGACGACGTCGCCGCGCCTCGGCGCCGCCAGCGCTCTCCCGACGTCGCACGGCAGGTGCTCCTCGCTACACGCCATCGCGCGCCACAGCGGGCGGCCGAGGATATAACCGGCCGGGTTCCCGGCCTCGCACGCCAAGCTCTTGGACCCGCAGTCCAACGTGGCGACCTCGCCCCACGCCGGGACGCTCACGACGCGCGTCATCACCGCCGCCGCGGGCGCGAGGCCCAGGCGAGGGTTCTGGCGCTGGCCGCGCCAGTCGTGGAAGACGACGGTCCCGGGGCTGAGCTGGTGCGCGTGACGCGGCGGCGGCCACGACGGCCACGATTGCGGCGGCGGCGGCGGCGGCGACGCGGTATCCGCCGCGTCCGACGACGGTTTCGCGTCCGACGGGGTATACTTCGCCACCGCCGCCGCCCACGCGCGTCGAACCGCCGCGTCGAGGTCGAACGTCGACGCCGCGACGAACCCGGGGGTGCCGCTCGTGACGACCTCGAGGTGATCCGAGTGCATCTCCGGGAGCGCGCGCGCCGGCGAATTGGTCTCGTTCCGGTGATGCTCGAGCCACCGCGCGACGGCGATCCACGCGCACGCGAGCGTCTCGGGGTCGTTCCGTACGAAGCGACGTCGGGGTGAAGTTCAAAGGCGTCAGAAGCGAAGTTGAAAGGCGTCGAGGGCAGGTATTGAAAGCGAGGGACCCTGGGCGGAGAGAAACGCCGGGAAAAGTCCTTAAGGAACGGCGTGCACCACGCGAACGCGATCGTATGGGGACCGGTGTAAGGAGAACGCGCCTCGGCGAGCGTCTCGAGCGACGCGCGGCATCGCTCGTCGCGGCTCTCGATCGCGGCGTCGACGTCCTCTCTCGACCGCCCGTTCGCGTCGACGCACTCGGATATGTGGCCCTCGTAGTAGTGCACGCCCCGGAACGGGGACTTCCCGTGGAACGAATCCCTGATCCACGCGGCGCGAATCGTCGCGGGTATCGCGGTGAACTCGACGCCGTCTTTCGAGTCGAGCGCGATGCCCGTGCGATTCATACCGGGGTTCACGTCCACGAAGCACCCGACGTCGTCCGGGAGCTCGTTCACCGCGTCCTCGCACTCGACGAGGACGCTCACGCGCACGCGCGCCTTGTTCTCCGGACGTCGCGCGATGTCGCCGACGCGCGCGAGCGACGGACCGACCGCCGGGTACGCGACGAGGACGTCGAGATGGCGAAACGGCGGCGTCGTCTCCGCGCCAGGGTACTCGCCGTGGTACGTCTCCACGAGCGTCGCGAGCTCTCGCGTCGTCGCGACTTTGAACTTGTTGATCCCCGCGCGCAGGAGCTCGCGCCACACGAGTCGCGACTTGGTCGTCTTGAGGTGCGGGCGGTACCGCTCGACGTCCCCGATGACGTCCACGACCGCCTTGACGTTGCGTCGCACCGCGTCGAGGTCGACGACGAGCGCGGGGGTGAGCACGCGCTTCTCGAGCTCGGGGGGGAGCCGGAACGACGTCTCGACGTCGACGTCCTCGAACCACGCGCCGTCGCGCGCGGGGTCGCTCATCCCGCCCGGGGGGGAGGGGCCGCGGGCGCCGAGGACGTTGTATGCGCGGGAATGATCTGATTTGATGACGGAGAGCGACGGAACCGACTCGGCTAAACGTTTTTCACCCACCGCTCGGTTTCAACAGTTGATCGCGTCCCCTTTCAACAGACCGATGAACTTTTTACGTTGGACACTTTTTACGCTGGGCGAGTGTCTCGGAAGTCGGCATCGAGCAACGAGAGCATTGCGACGCGCGCCGCCGACGGGGACAGCGCGCGCGAGATGGGCCGCGACGGCGGCCGAGGCGGCCGCGGCGGCCGCGGCGGCCGCGGACGCGGAGGCGGCAGGGTCAAGGCCGTGGACCGCGAGATCGAGGAACTCGAGGGCGCCATCGAGGTGCGCGCGCCGCCGCCGCCCCCGCCGCCGCCCACCCGTCTCGTCTCGTCTCGTTTTTTCTTCCCTCCCTCGTCCGCCGCCGACTCACCCCACCCCGTCCTCGCTCCTCTCCGTCGTTCCGCAGGCGACGAAACCGGAGAAGGGCACGAACCCGCTCGCGGTCGCGCCGAGGAAATCCAGCGAGAAAGGCCTCGGCGCGTCGCTCGTCGGCGTGAGGAAGTTCAAAGACGTGCCGCTGTCGACGCCGACGCAGCGCGGCCTCGCGGACGCGAGATTTAAGGAGCTCACCGCCATCCAACGCGCGACGATCCCGCACGCGCTCGCGGGGCGCGACGTCCTCGGCGCGGCGAAGACGGGCAGCGGAAAGACGCTCGCGTTCGTGATTCCGCTTCTCGAGTCGCTGTACCGCGCGAAGTGGGGGCGGCAGGACGGCATCGGCGGGCTCGTCATCGCGCCCACCAGAGAGCTCGCGATGCAAATCTTCCAGCAACTCCTCGCCGCGGGGAAGCACCACTCCCTCAGCGCGGGGCTGCTCATCGGCGGGAAGAACGTGAAAGAGGAGAAGGACACGGTGAACAAGATGAACGTGCTCGTGTGCACGCCCGGGAGGCTGCTGCAGCACATGGACGAGACGCCGATGTTCGACTGCGTCACGCTGAGGCGCGTTCTTGAGGACTTTCTCTCCCGGCGCAACCATCTCTCCGCCCAGGGTCCCTCGCTGGTTTCAATCCCGACGCGCCTCGACGCCTTTCAACTCCACCACTGACGCACCCCTGAACTCCACCCCGACATTCATCGTCGCTTCGCGTGGACCCTCCCTCGACCCTCATCAGGATCCTCGTGCTGGACGAGGCGGACCGCATCCTCGACATGGGCTTCGCGGCGACGCTCACCGCCATCTTGGAGAACCTCCCGAAGCGGCGACAGACGCTGTGCTTCAGCGCGACGCAGACGAAGAGCGTGAAAGACCTCGCGCGGCTGTCGCTGAGGGACCCGGAGTACCTCGCCGTGCACGCGGAGAGCGCCTCCGCGACGCCGCCGAAGCTGACGCAGTTGGTGGCGACGTGCGCGCTCGAGAAGAAGATGGAGGCGCGTTCTGTCTCACACTGGTCCCCATACGACCGCGTCGGCGTGGTGAACGCCGATCCTTAAGGACTTTTCCCGGCGCATCTCTCCGCCCAGGGTCCCTCGCGTTCAATCCCCGACCGCGATGCCTTTCAACTCCGTCTGACGCCTTTGAACTCCACCCCGACGTTCGCTCGTATGGAACGACCCTGGAGACGCTGTGGGCGTTCATCAAGTCGCACCTCGCGTGCAAGACGTTGATATTTTTGTCCAGCTGCAAGCAGGTTCGGTTCGCGCACGAGATGTTCCGGCGGATGCGACCGGGCGTGCCGATCGCGATGCTCCACGGGCGGATGAAGCAAAAGGCGCGGATGGGGACGTTTCGGTCCTTTTGCGACGCCAAACACGCCGCGCTCTTCGCCACCGACGTCGCCGCGCGCGGTCTCGACTTCCCCGCCGTGGACTGGGTCGTCCAAGCGGACTGCCCCGAGGACGTGCCGTGTTACATCCACAGAGTTGGACGCACGGCGCGATACACGTCGGAAGGGAAAGGGCTGCTGCTCCTGACGCCGTCCGAGGCGGCGTTCGCGAAGGAGCTCGCGGCCGCCAAGGTGCCGCTGAAGACGATGAAGCTGAACCAGGCGAAGAACCGGCCGATCACGTCGTCGATCCAGGGTTTACTCGGGAAGGACTCGGACTTGAAGTACCTCGCGCAGAGGGCGGTGGTGTCGTACCTGAGGAGCGTGTATTTGCAGCCGAACAAGGCGGTGTTCGACGTCGACGCGCTCGACGTCGAGGCGTACTCGCACTCGATGGGGTTGCCGAACCCGCCGCGGCTGCGGTTCTTGAAGGGCGGCGGCGGCGCGGGCGCGGGCGCGGGGGGGTCGTCGAAGGGCGGCGGCGGCGGCGAGGACGACGACGACAGCGACGAAGACGACGACGGCGACGGCGACGGCGAGAAGAGGGAGGGGGGTACCGCGGAGGAGCAGGAGCAGGATTCGGACGACGATTCGGACGACGAGGAGGCGCGGGAGGAGAGAGGGACCTCCGCGGGCGTCCTAAAACGCGTCGGCGGCGGGCACTTCGGCCTGACCGTGGACGACGCGGACGAGGACGACGAGCTCATGACGGTCAAGCGCGCGAACCACCGCCTCTCGAACGCGGCCGCGACCGGCGGCGGCGACGGCGACGACGGCGACGACGACGAGGGCGCCGGCTTGTCCGCGGCGGCGCGCGCGGCGCTCGCGGACGGCCCCGCGGATCTCGGCGCGGCGCTGCGCGCGCGCGCGAAGAAAGGCAAGCTGCGAATTAAAGACTCCGGGCACGGCGGGAACGCGAAGGTGGTCTTCGGCGACGACGGCGAGGCGATGCGACCGTTGGAAGCGCTCGGGGATCGCGAGCTCGGGCCGGCGCCGACGGGCGGCGCGGAGCTCGCGGCGGCGGCGAAGAGGCACTACGATCGCGTGAAGCTCGAGAGGATGCGCGCGGACGAGGCGGACCGCGAGCGAGAGAAGGAGCGCCTGCGCGGGATGCGAGACAAGGCGAAGATGAAGGCGCGCGAGACGGGCGGGGAGTACGACTCGGACGGCGGCGGCGACGGCGCGACGGCGGTGCTGGGCGGGTCGAGCGACGACGACGACGACGACGACGACGACGACGACGACGACGCGTCGAGCGAATCGGATTCCGACCGCGGCGGCGGCGGCGGCGGAGGGAGAAAACGCGGCGGCGGCGGCGGCGCGTCGAGCTCGGACGACGATTCAGATTCCGACTCCGACGCCGCCGCCGCGAAGGCGAAGCGCGCGAGACGAACCGACGTCGCCGTGGCGGGGATGGCGCCGGCGGACGAAAAGATCGAATCCCTCGAAGCGCGCGCTCTGAAGCTTCTCGGGTGATTGATGTGTACCCTGTAGATGTGTACCCCGTCCTAAAAAATGAAGTCGTCGGAGAAGGTCGCGTCGTGATCGTTCTGCGCGTCGTCTTCGCGACGGACTTTTATCGCCTATCAACATCGTTCGTAGGTTTTTTCTAACTATCGTATCGTACGTATGGCACACATGTACACCGCGCGACGCGTCGCGCCTCGTTCGTTCGCGTCCGTCCGGTCTCGTTCCGTATCGACGTTTTTTCTCTTTTTTTTTCTCTCCGCGTGCTGCGTCCTCACGCGCTCACCATGGGCACGCCGCCGACGTCCATCCCGTGCCCGTGCTGCACTTGCATCCCGCCCACGCCGGGGTGAACACCACCCATGCCACCCATGTTCATGGCCGGGGTGATCGTGTTCTTCGCCTCCCACGACGCCTTCGCCATCCGGTGCTTATCCTGCTCCTTCTCCGCGGTGCGCATGTACGCGTTTCGCTTGTTATCCGGGAGCTCCTTCCACTCCCGGCTCACCCACCTGGACGTGTCCGTGAAGTCCATGTCCGGGTGCAGTTTCTTCAAACGCGCGCGCTCGTCCTCCGCGAAGATCAGATACGCGGTCCGCGGCCGCTTCGGCTTCCCGTCGTCCCGCCCCTTCCCTTTCTTCCCCTTCTTCCCGCCTTTGGCGCTCGCGTACACCGGAGGGACGTACTTGTCCTTCTGCTCCTGGTACACCCTCTTGCACTCCTCCGCCTCCGCCTTGCACTCGGCCAAAACCTCGGTGTGCACGTTCTTCCACATGTCCGCGAGTCGAGTCGTGACTTGCTGCATCTCCTCCCTGGTGAACTTCGTCGTCGGGTCCGAGTGCACCTCCTTCATGATTAGGTTCCGGTACCGGTCGCAAAAGATGAGGTACGCCGTCCGCGCGCGCTTGGGCTTCTCGCCGACGCCCTCCACGATGATCCTCGCGCGCTTGTTCTTCTTGCTCTTGTTCGAGCGCCGCATCAAACCCGGGCCGAACGCCACCTTCGCCGCCTCGTACTCGTCCTTCAGGCGATCAGCCTCCGCCTTGCACGCCGCGAGCTCGTCGGGCGCGACGTTCTTCCACCGCTCCGCGAGTCGAGTGGTGACCTGTTGCATCTCCTCTCGCGTGAACTTCGCGTCGGGCTCCGGGTGCACGTCGCGCATGATCTGCGCGCGGTGCTTGTCGCAGAAGACGAGGTACGCGGTCCTGGCGCGCTTCGGGGGCTGCGGGAGGTCGTTCCCGTTCTCGTCTTTGAGTCTCTGCGGGGGGGGACGGGGGGCGAGCGAGCGGTGGTCAGACCGCGCGGGCGCCCTCAGGAGAGAAGAAAACCGCCGCGGCTCGCGCCAGCCCGGCGAGAGGAGCAGAGAGATATTTCCAGGGTGGACGACGACGACGACGAACCAACGGATTGAAATCTGAGCTGGGGGGAGGAGGGCGAACGCGGACGGCCGCCGCGCGCACCGCGCGCGCGGCGTCGTCCGTCCCCCGGGCGTCGCCCCCCCCGCGCGCGATGGAAGCGACGGTCGATTCGAGCGCGCGCGCACCTTGTGCTTCGTCATGGCGCGCGAGCGCGCGGGGGTGGGATAAAAAAAAGCGACGACGTGCGCGCGTCTCTCTGCGTGTTCAAAGGAAACGGCCGAGGTGAGTAAAGGAGCGCGACGAGGGCGACGCGACCGTCCCGAGGGCGGCGGGACGCGCGCGCGCGCGTCTACGCGACCCCGCGGACGACGCGCGCGCGTCCCCGCGCGGGTTCAGACGCGCGAAGGCGTCCAAACGCGCGACACGCGGACGCGCGCATTCGTCGTCGAATGCAATAATGCGCGCGCGGGGACGTCGGCGCGCTCGATTTCCCGCGCGAGTTTTCGCGCCGGCGAACGCGCGAGCGGGAGACGCGAGAGACGCGCGCGCGCGCGCGAACGCGCGGGGGAGCGCGCGAAGGGTCGCGCGAAGCGCGTTCGCACCTTGACGCGTGCGGCGGGACGTCGGCGCCGTCGGGTGTGACCCCCCCACGTCGCGGTTCCAAACGCCCCAATGCGCGAGCTCGTGAACCCTATCCCACGAATTGATCGCGCTCGAGTCGTCGAAACGCTCCGCGAGCGCGCGGCGCTCCGATGATGAGGTGCGTTCAATGCCAACGTTTTTCACCCATCCCTCGGGTTCAACACTTGATCGCGTCCACTTTCAACTTGACCGATGAACTCGTTTCGCATGGAATCGCGTTTACGACGAGATCCCAGCGACAGGACGACTTCGCGTCCGCGCGGCGCGGGGCGACACTCGTCGTCCCCGCGACCGCCCGGCCATCATGGGCCTCACGAAAACCTACCTCCTCGCGTACAACGGCGCGCTCGCGTTCGCGTGGGCGCGCGTCCTCGTCCTCGCGTCGCTCGCGCTCCGCGACGGCGGCCACCGCGCGGTCTACGACGCGGTCGCGTCCCCGCTGCTCGTCGCGCAGACCGCGGCGGTGATGGAGATTCTACACGCGATGACCGGCATCGCGCGCTCGCCCGTGCTCGTCACCGCGATGCAGGTGTCCTCGCGTCTGATGGTGGTCTGGGGCGTCCTGCACGTCGCGCCGCCGTCGCGCGTGGCGACGTACGTCACGCCGATCGCGCTGCCGTTCCTCGGCGGCGGCGGCGCGCGCGTCGTGATCGGCGTGTACTCGCTCATGTTCGCGTGGGGCGTCACGGAGGTGATCCGATACGGCTTCTACTTCCTGAAGCTCGTCGACGCGCTCGAGACGCCGATCGGGAGGTTCGTGAACTGGGCGCGGTACACGTTCTTCCTCGCGCTGTACCCGCTGGGGGTCGCCAGCGAGCTGTGGCTCGCGTGGAGCGCCGCGGCGTACGTGAAGAAGCGCGGCGTGCTCTCGTACCCGATGCCGAACCCGTGGAACGTGTGGATCGACTGGCCGAGCGTCACGGCGATGTTCTTCGCGGGGTACGTCCCGGGGTTCCCGATGCTGTTCGGGTACATGCTGAAGCAGCGGAAGAAGGTGTTATCGCCCGCGGGGAAGAAGACGAAGACGGCGTGACGCGCGAACGCGCCGGCGACGCGACCGTAACCCTGGGGTAATAACGCACGACGCGTGGTCCGGATAGGTATTATATCCGGATAGGACCACGGATGATGTAATACTATGAACACGCTATTAATAATACCGCACGCACGGCGTGTTCTTCACGCCGTCTGGCGCGCGGCTTCCTCCGCCGCGCGGCGCGCCCTGCCCGCGGCGACCGGCCCCAAGAGCACCTCCTTCTTGCTCGCTCTGTACGCGATCGCCGTCGCCGCGTCGAGTCGCCCCTCCGCCGTCGCGGCGTCCAACAACGCTCGGTCCTCCTTCAGCGTCGTCCTGTACGCGCGCAGGAGCTCCAGGCACCGTCCCTCGACGAGATCCACCCAGCTCTCCACGCCGAGGACGTCGCACGCGGCGATGACGCCGCCGTCGACGCCCTCTCGCGTGAGCACGAGCCCGCGGTCCGACCCGGTTTTCGCGGCCGAGGAGGCGTCTCCGCTCTTCCCTATCGCGACCGCCTCGCTCGCCTTTCGAATCCCCGTCGCGCTCGCCTCGCCCGGCTCGATCAACCCCAGCCTCACCGCGCACGACGCGAGCGCGTCCACGGTGTCGAACAGCACGACGGCGTCGTGCCTGTTCCCCGCGGGGACGAACCCGAAGTACAGAAAGAACGGGTCGTTGGGCCAGTCGCCGTAGGAGATGAGCACCTCGGCGCCCTCCTCGACGCCGTCCTCGCCCGCGCGCAGCTGAAAGAACGACTCCGACGCGCCCGCCGGGGTCCTGTTGATTAATGTATTCTCCTCCGTCGTCGGCGCGATCTCCGACGTCGCGACCGCGCCCTGGCACGTCTCCGGGGAGTGCACGACGCGCGCGACGGCGTTTTTCGCCTCTGCGTCGTGATTGCACATGTCCACGCCCGGCGCGAGGAGATGCCGCCCCCTCGCGCCGTACGTGAAACACCGCGAGTGCAGCACCCCGGTCGCCCACCGCAGGTCGTCCGCGTCGCAGCCGATCGCGCGGAGGCGGTCCTCGAGCTCGAGGCACGCGTCCGCGTGCGCGAACGCCACGGCGGCGACCTCCGCGTCGATCGCGGCGTCCTCCGCCTCCGCGACATCCTCCGCGTCGTACTCCAGCGGCGGCGTCGACACGCGCGACGGCAGCGCGGCGATCCACGGCGCGAGGGGCGAGTCGTCGCCGCGCGCGCGCTCTTCGAGGAGGCGCATCGCCATGCGCGCGGACCACGGCATCGGGGCGCTGTCTTCGTGCTCGGCGGAGGGGTCGTCCGGGTCGACGACGCGCGTCGCGCGACGAGCCGGATCCTCCGGATCCTCCGGATCCTCCTCCTCCTCCTCCGCGAAGACGAGGTCCCACGGGAGCGAGAACACGACCTCGTCCGGGGCGAGGTTCCGCAGCGCGACGAGGCCGCGCCCGCGGCCGTCGCCGAGGTCTCTGAGCGCCACCTTGCCCTCGAGCGACGCGTCGTCCGTGGCCCTCGCGAGCCAGCCGAGGACGCGCGACGCGGGGTCGTCGGACGCGTCGTCGGACCCGGACGCCGCCCGGACGCCGCCGCGCGTCGTCGACGCCGCCGACGCGCGGGGCGCCGCCGCGCGAGGAGACGCGCTCGCTCCCGTCGCGACGCGCGGTGGCGGCGACGTCATCGCCGCGCGCATGCTTCGGGGAGCGCGCGCGCGCGCCCGGGAAGTGATCGCGAGACAGATCTGAAGACACACACACACACGATCTGATGGTGTCAACTCGTCGTCACACCCGAGCGCGCCGCCCGGTACATGCTCGCGCGCGTCGTGAACGCGCAGCTCGCCGGTCGCGTCGTCAGCCGCGCGCGCGCCGTCGCCGCCTCGTCGGCGACCCACCAGAGCGCTCGCCCGCCGTTCACGCCGCGTCCGCGCGCGTCGTCGCGTCGCGCGCGGGGACCGCCGATCGTCGTCGTCGTCGTCGCGTCGTCGTCCTCCTCCTCCGCGTTCGCCGCGATGTCGTCCTCCGCCGCGTCCGCGCCGCCGCCGCAACAAACGCCGCCGCCGCCGTACGGGTTCAGCAGCGCGTTCGACAGCGGCAACGGCGAGCTCGTGTCCGCGACCGCGGACGTCCTCACCGTGAGGATGACCGAGGAGCCGTTCACGGAGGCGGACGGGCGGCGCCACTTCCAGTGGTTCCACTTCCGCGTCACCGGCAACCGCGGGAATAACCTCGCGATCGTCATCGCGAACGCGGGGGAGTCGTCCTACCCGGACGGCTGGGACGGCTACAAGGCGTTCATCTCCGCGGACAGGAAGACGTGGACGCGCGTCCAGGAGACGTCGTACGACGGCGCGGCGCTCACGATCCGGCTCTCGCCGACGCCGTCCGATTGCGTCCACCTCGCGTACTTCGTCCCGTACGCGCACGAGAAGCACCTGGACCTCGTCGCGCGCGCGTGCGCGTCCGCCGCGCCAGGTCCGATCGTGACGCACGAGACGCTGGGACTCACGCTCGACGGCCGCGCGATCGACGCGCTTCGGTTCGGCGAGCCCGGGGTCTGGACGCCGGAGCCGCGCGCCGCGGGGCTGTCGCCGGCGGACGCCGCCGCAGTCGTCGCGTCGACGGCGTCGGCGCCGGCGTGGGAGCGCGACGGCGGAGTGAAGAGGAACGTGTGGATCATCGCGCGGCAACACCCGGGGGAGTCCATGGCGTCGTGGTGGATGGAGGGGTTCGTGGGGAGGTTGTTGGACCCGGAAGACGCCGTCGCGAAGAAGGCGTTGCGACGCGCCGTCGTCCGCGTCGTGCCGTGCGTGAACCCCGACGGCGCCGCGCGCGGCTACCTGCGCGTGAACGCGTCGGGCGCGAACTTGAACCGCGAGTGGGAGACCCCGAGCTTGGAGCGCTCGCCCGAGGTGTATCACGTTCGGAACGCGATGGACGCGACCGGGCCGGTGGATCTGATGCTGGACGTCCACGGCGACGAGGCTGAGGCGCGTTCTCCTCACACTGGTTCCCATACGACCCCGTTCGCGTGGTGAACGCCGATCCTTAAGGACTTTTCCCGGCGCATCTCTCCGCCCAGGGTCCCTCGCGTTCAATCCCGACACGCCTCGACGCCTTTCAACTCCGTCTGACGCCTTTCAACTCCACCCCGACGTTCGCTCGTACGGAACGACCCTCAGCCGTACTGCTTCATCGTCGGCGGAGAGGGCACGCCCGGGTGGGACGACCGCCGAGCCGGCGTGCAGAGCGAATTCAAGCGCGCGTACGCGAGGGCGTGCCCGGACTTTCAGTGCGTGTTCCCGCTCGAGTACGGCAGCGCGCCGGCGGGGAACGTCGTCACCGCGAAGACGCAGGTGTCGGCGCGGTTCGACTGCGTCGGGATGACGTTGGAGATGCCGTTCAAGGACAACGTGCAGCTCGCGGGGGAGAACGGGTGGACCGCGAAGAGGAGCGAGGCGTTGGGGGCCGCGGCCGTGGACGCGCTGCTGCACGTGCTGCCGACGCTGCGTCCCGAGTGAGCGGGGGAGGGGGGGGGCGCGATCGGACGTCGAATCCGCGGCGGGTTGAAAACTAACAGAAACTGTTACTCCGTCGCTTCGTCGGACGCTTCACGCGCGCGTCTTCTTCTCGGTCTCGTCCGCGAACGAGACGCGCTTCCCCGTCTTCACCGCCGCCTTCCTCTCTCTCTTCGACCGTTTCTTCCCGTGCACGAGCCCGCAGTACATGTCGAACTGCGACGCCGCGAGCGCGTCCTCCGGGAACGGATACGGCGCCCCCAACCGCCACGCCGCCGCGAGTCCCGAGATGACCGCGATCTCGTGCGTGTTCACCGCGGTGTAACTCCCCGCGTACAACGTCCGGCGCTTCTTCTGCACGAACCGCCACAGCGGCGTCGCGCGCGTGAAGTGTCGGACGCTGTGCCCGAACTGCCGCCACCACTTCGTGAGGAGGATCTTCGAGGGGTCGATCTCGTCCTTCGTCCATCGCGTCGGAAGTCCGCTTTTCTCCGCGCGTCTCTTCTCTCCCGCGGCGTCGAGGAAGATCGTCTGGAACACCCTCGCAGTAGTAGCGCCAGGACCTTCCTTACTTACCGCGGCCGCGGCGTCGGGCTGGTAGCTCGTCAGGTCGAACGTCATCTCGATCTTCCCGGGGTCGGCGTCGTACGTCTTAACCAAGTACATGTCTCCCTCGGTCTTCTCGTAGTGTTTTCGCACGTACTCGAGATCCGTGTGCGTGACGGACACGTCGTCGTAGTACCTCACGTTCCCGAACACCTTCCGCTCCATCCAGCACGTCCCCGTCCCCGCGTCGAGAAGCGCCTTGGACGTCTCCGTGTTGCACGCGAAGATGACGTGGTCGTACGTCTCGCGGAAGTCGACGAAGCCCTTCGCGTCGTCGCCGTCGCCGTCGCCGTCGCCGTCCCGTCGTCGTCCGACGACGACGACCTCGTCCTTCCTTCGCTCGACCGCGACGACCGTCGCGCGCGTCGTCACGACGCCGCCGGCGTCCTCGATCGCGCGCTGAAGCCGGTCGTACACGGTCTCGAACAGCGGGAACGCGAACATCTTAGGCCGCCGCGACAGGAAGCGCTCCGGGCAGTAGTCGTACAGCCGAAGTTTCGGATCCGTGAACACCCTCGCGAAGACCGCCGCGGGGACGCTCGCGGTGACGTTCCCCGTGCCGAAGAACAGCGCGACGAGCGGGTACACGATGCGCTCCGCGAACGACTTGGAGAACCCGTGCCATCGCAGCGCGCGCTCGATCGACACGAACGCGTAGACGACCTCCCATCGCGTGAACTTTTTCAGGACTCTCCCGAACCGCTCCACCTCCTTCGCGTGCGCTTCGATCACCCTCGCGCGGCTCTCGCCGTGGTTCGTCCAGTTGTGCTCGCCCTTGCCGAAGCTCACGGCGACGTCCAAACACTTCGGCTCCGGCGCGCCCGTCGCGCGCATCAAGCGCATCACGTTGCGATACGACAGCGCACCGCCCTGCACGCCGTCGTTGACTGGTACCTTCGTCGACGACCCGTCGCCGACGCGCTCGGTCGTCGCGACGCCGCCGAGCGAGGACGCGCGCTCGATGACCTCCACGTCGGCGACGCCGGAGGTGGCGAGAGCCCACCCGGCGGCCGCGCCCGCGGCGCCGCCGCCGATGACGCACACTCGCATGACGCCGCGTCGCCGGCCGGCGCGGCGCGCGCGGATAGGTATGATGACGTGTCCGACACGCAGCGAGAGATTATCAGTCAGGTTTTCACGACGCGTTCGTCTAAGGCTACTCGCGTCCGCTCTCTCTCTCTCTCTCTCTACGACGCCCGCGGCTTCGGCGCGTCGTACGTGGTCTCGCCCGTGACGACGTTCGTGTACATCGTCATGTCGCTCCCGTCGGGATGTTTCGTCGCCACGGTCCGCCATCCTCCCCACCGATCGTCGAGCTCGTCCCCGCCGCCGCCGCCGCCGCCGTCCCCGCCGCCGCCGCCGCCGCCGCCGCCGCCGCCGTCTCCCTCTCCCGCCACCCTCTCCCTCTTCCTCGCGGTCTCCATCCCCATCCTCGCATCCTCCGCGGCGCGTCGCATCGCCTCCGCCTCCGCGACGATCGTCGCCGCGTACGCGTGCGCGCCGTCGACGTCCGCGCCGTGCTCCAAGAATCGCTGCACGACGCCGACGCACCGCGCGACGGCTCCGTTGCTCCCCCCGAACCTCGCGAGGACGCCTCGGTCGACCTCGTCCACGCACCTGAACGCGTCCACGCCGGAGACGGTCGCGATCGCGCGCGAGGTGACCCCGCCCTTGCCGATGATCGCGGCGACGAGGCCGTCGGGCTCGATCGGCCCCATCTCTCGCGACGCCTCATTACCCCCGCGCTCGTCCTCGAGCTCCTCCTCGACGCGTCTCAGGAGCATCTCCTTCGCGGCGGCGACCGCGTCGGGGACGCCCTCGATGACGACCTCGCGCGTGGACGACCCCGCGTTGACGATCCCGTCGTCGCGCTCGAACGTGAGCGTCGTCGCGGTCAGGCCCGAGATGGCGCGCGCGCCGTGCCCGCCGACGCCGACGATGGCGCCGACGAGCCGAGCGGGGACGAGGACCGCTTCTCTCGTCTCGACGCGCTCGAGCGCGGGCGCGGGCGCGGGGGCGGGCGCGGGCGCGGGGGCGTCGTCGGCGTCGGCGGCGGCGTCGGCGTCGCCGGCGTCTTTCCTCGCGCGCTTCCTCGTGCGCGTCTCCCTCGCGCTCGTCCCCGCGTCCGCGACGACGACCGCCTCGGCGGCGTCCGCGCCGGGCGCCGTCGCGTCGCCGCGGTCGCCGCCGGGGCGGTCCTCGTCCGTCGCGAGCGAGATCCCGGGGATGGAGAGGAGCTCCTCCATCGTGATGTTCACCATCGCGAGCGCGGCCGGCGGACTCGCGCGGTCTCGGCGGCGCGCGCGCGGAGCCTCTGCGCCCGCGCAGTGCTCGTGGCTCGCTTCGTTTTGCCGAAGCGTCGCGCTGACTTTTTTTCTGGGAGGTCAGACATCGGAAGGGTTCGTTCGGGCGTCCCCGAGCAGTGTGGCGCGGCGCGCGCTCCTTGGATATCGACCGGCGCGCCGGTCCGCGAGGGCGATTCCAAGACGCGGCCGCGCGGAGGCCGCGGTGCGAGGACGGGCGCGCGCGCGGGCGGCGGTGGGAGAGGAAGGGTGCGTCGATCCATTGTAGTTGTGGACACCGCCAATTTGAAGCGACGCACCCGAACGTAATCCAGAAAATGGCGTGCGGGTGCTTCGGCGGCGGCGGCGATAAGGCGGACAAGGGCGACAAATACAAGAAGCCCGAGTCGGGGAAGAAGCCAAACAAAGGAAAGACCGCGGACGTCAAGGCGAGGAGCGCGTCCGATGAGCCCGGGGACGAGCGACAACAACTCGCCGAGTCCGATCCCGAGTCCGAGGGCGAGGACGTGGACGCCCTCCCCGGGCCCGCGGACGCGCCCCGAGACTCCGACTCCGACCCCGAGGACGACGTCGGCGATCTCAGGAAAGCGAAAGAGCGCGCGGTCGAGCGACGACGCAGCGTTAAAGAGCGCGCGGCGGCGAAGAAGCGCGACAAAGAGAGAGCGGGCGGACCAGCCCCGTCGCCGCGTCGCGCGTTCGACTCCGACGATTCCATCGCTCGTCAGCTCTCGCCGTCGCCGCGGATGTCGCAGGGGGACGCGCACGCGCCGAGGGCGAAAGAGAAGCGCGAAGGCCCGGAGGGCGTGCTCCGAAGGCGCGATGGGGGCGACGAACCGTCGAGCGCGAGACGCGCGGGCGGCGGCGGCGTCAAGCCGAGAGAAAAGCCGAAGCGAAGCGGCGACGGCGGCGGCGGCAATAAACTCCGCGACGAGGTCATCCAGCGAGGGAGAAGGTCGCGGCCGTCCACGCGCGACGCGAGCTCGGTGCCGAACGTTCAAAAGTCAGACGAGGACGCGGCGACGATCGCGCGGTCGATTCGAAGCTGCCCGTTTTTCCTCCAAGAGATGCAAAACGCGCCGCCGGACGTCCCGGAGCGACTGGCGCGCGCGATGGAGGAGGTCACCGTGAACGCGAACGTGGATCTGATAACGCAAGGCGCGTTGAACGACGATTCGTTCTTCGTCCTCGTGGAAGGGAAGGTGAACGTCCTCCAGCGCGCGGACTTGCGATTGGAAGCGGGCGCGGACATGACGAAGTTTTTGGAGAGCGTTCCGCGTCGAAACTCAAAACCCGACGAGAGCGCGCCACGGATATCCAAGGGGGGTAAGAGCCACAAGGGGATGAACGTCGCGGACGGCGTGTTCGACTTGAAACCGTCGCAAGATAAGCTCATCAAGGTTCTAGAGCCCGGGGCGTATTTTGGCGAGGTCTCGTTGCTGTTCAACACGGCGAGGACGGCGACGATTCGATCGCAAGCGCCAGGGTGCCGCGCGTTTAAACTTCGCAGGAGTCACTACGAGTCGATCGTCCTCGCTGCGAAATCGGAGATTTTCAAGCGCCGGTTCGATCTCGTATCGAAAGTCGGGCTGTTTCGAAGCATGGACAAGACGTCGTGTCGAACGATCGTGGGAATGTCCGACTCCGAGACGGTCGCCGCCGGGGAGGTCATCTTCCAAAAAGGCGACTTCGGGGATAAGCTCTTCCTCGTCGAGGCCGGCGTGGTCTCGATACAGGTCGAGGGGCACGAAGTCCGCAGGTTCGGTCCGGGGGATTGCTTCGGCGAGGTCGCGCTCATGAACTTCGGCACCGCGAGGACCGCGGACGCGATCGTCCCCGCGGACGTCCCCGACGGGAAGTGCGAGCTCCTGTCCGTGTCGCGAGAGAATTTCGAAAACATCTTGGGTCCGCTCAAGTTGGCGATCAACGGGCCGAGGCTGTCCACGGTGCCTCTGTTCGCGCCGCTGTCGCAGGAACATATCGAGGAGTTAGCGCAAGCGCTGCAGCTTCGAAAGTTCAGCGACGGCGCGAGCGTCGTCCGGCAGGGCGAAGCCGTGAACGCGTTGTTCTTCGTCGACCAAGGCTCGTTCCTCGAGACGTGGCCGACGGACAACAGGATGCGGACGATGCGCGAGGGCGACTGGTTCGGTCTCGAAGCGCTCGCGCACGAGAGACCGTCCCCGTGCGAGGTCCGCTCCGTCGGTCTCTCCGCGGTGATGAGCCTCGCGAAGAGCGCGATCGACAAGATCGAGAAAGACGTGGGCGTGTCCCTGCCGACGCTCCAGTCGTCGTGGCGCCGGGAAAATTTGGACGGGTGGACGCGTCGGCCGAGCGTCAAAGTCGCGACCGCGGCGGAGATCGACGTCCTCGTCGCGGAGCTGGAGCTCAAGTTCGCGCGCCCCGGGGACGTCCTCGCGGACTCGCGCGAACACCCGAACGGGAAGTTCGTCGGCTTGGTCATGTCCGGGAACGTCCTCGTCGTGTCCACGCTCGAGCGCGGCGGGGATGAGAAACCGATGGAACGGAAGCGGCTGATCACGGAGGGGCCGCTGCACTTGGCGTCGAGAGCGCAGGCGGCCGCGGAGGCGTTCCGCGACTCGGATGATCCGGGACGGCGCGGGAAGAACGCGATCGGCATCAAGTTGGTCGCCATGGGGGCGTCGGTGCTGCTGGTCCCGCCGCCGTCGCCGTCGCCGGCGTTGACGCGCGCGTTGGAGTGTCTGAAGGTGCGTTCTGTACCCTGGTCCCCACACGACCGCGTTCGCGTGGTGAACGCCGATCCTTAAGGACTTTTCCCGGCGCATCTCTCCGCCCAGGGTCCCTCGCTTTCAATCCCCGCCCTCGACGCCTTTCAACTTCGCTTCTGACGCCTTTCAACTCCACCCCGACGTTCGCTCGTACGGAACGACCCTTGAAGGAGACGCCGCCGCGCGCGAGGCAGAGCGTGAACCTCAGCGCGAGCAGCTCGGGTCGGTCCGCGGGGAGCGACGAGCCGCTGCCCGGGTCGCCGTCGGCGTTCGGGGGAGACCGACCGCCGCCGCGCGGAGGCGTCCAGCGAAGAAAGTCCGTGTCCGACCTCGGCACCGGTCTGAGCGTCGTCCGCGAGACGATCGCGCTGCAGAAGCTCGTCGGCAAGGGCGGGTTCTCCAGAGTGTTCCACGTGAAAGCGACCGCGAGGAAGGCGGACGGCGCGCCGATTCCGGGGAGAGACTTCGTGTTGAAGCTCATACCGATACGGAAGCTCGTGGAGAGCGGCGTGGAGCACACGGTCCGGCACGAGAGAGACTTATTGTCGAGCGTGAGGCACGCGTCCGTCGTGCGTCTGCACACCGCGTTTAAAGCGATGGATCACATCTACTTAATCATGGATCTCGTCACGGGGCGGGATTTCTACTGGATCATGCAGCACTACAACTTATCCGACGCCGGCGCGCGGTTTTACATCGCGCAGATCGTGATGGTGTTGGAGTACCTGCACAAGCTGTCCATCGCGTACCGGGACGTCAAGCCGGAAAATTTCATCGTCACGACGAAGGACGGGTACCTGCGAATGATCGACTTTGGGCTCTCGAAACTCTTAGGTCCCGGGGAGCGATCGTACACGTTCTGCGGGACGCCGCTGTATCTCGCCCCGGAGGTGTGGGGAAGTAACGGCCACAACCGGAGCGTTGACTTGTGGGCGCTCGGCGTGCTGACGTACGAGATGGCGTTCGGGAAGCTCCCGTTCGAGGCGAAGAGCGAGAGCGAGCTGAAACAGAAAGTCGTCGGCGACGCGCTCAAGTTCCCCAGGGAGATCGGGTCGTTCGGGAACGACGAGATCGACCCGCGGCTCAAGTCGCTCATCATGGGCTTGCTCGAGAAGAACTCCACGCGGCGGTTGGGGATGTCCAAGGAGGGCACCAAGGCGGTGCGATCGAGCGCGTGGTTTAAGGATCTGGACTGGCACGCGATAGAGAAGCGGAAGCTCGAGCCGCCGTTCTACCCGAGGCCGGAAAACGAGCGAGAGGCTGCGGCGAAGCTCACGGCCGCGGACTCGGAGCTCGTGCCGCCGACGAGCGCGGACTGCCCGAGGTACGGAGACCGGTTCCCGGACTTTTAGACGTGAAAAATCTGCGGCCTCTCCGTCGGGTGTTGGTTGCGGCGGAGACGGAATGGGCCTGAAATGAAAGGTTCCGCCGATGGTTGGGGTGTTGTTGAGTACATAGGGTTATTAGACGAAACGTATGCGTTGTCAGTCAGGATTCGCGCGCGTACACTACTACTCTTGAAAAATCTGCGGCGAATCTTTCTGTTCCAAACACCACGCATGTGAATGTATGACAATTGCCGAACGTCAGTTGACCTCGCGCGTCCCGGAGCGCACCGCGCGCTCCCGTCATGGGTTGCGGCGCGAGCAAAGACGCCACCGCATCCGCGAAGCCGGATGAGGCGAAAAAGAAGAAAGTCGACGACGACGAGGACGACCCGAAGAAGCGCGTCCCCGAGCGTCGGAAGAGCCAAACCGACGAGGGGAACGCGGTCGACCCGGACTCGGGCTCGACCGCGGCGAACGTCGCCGCGGGGGTCGTCACCGTCGCCGGGTCCGCGGCGATCATCGCGGGCGCGACGGACGAAGGCGCGCGCTCGGCCATGGGCGGCACCGCGGGCAAGGCGTTGCTGACGTTCGCGAAGGAGCTCCCGTGGATCGCGCCGATCGCGTTCTTAGTCGGCGGCATAATCGCCGCGGCGGACAACGTCTCCGGGCTCAAGCAGGACGCGAAGGTGTTCGCGAAGAACGTGAGAGCGGTCGAGACCGTGCTAGAGGACGCCGCGAAGAAAGGGACGCTGAAGGACGTCGAGGAAGTGTGCGAGGAGCTGAAGTGGTCGATGGAGGAGGGGCTCGCGCATCTGCAAAAGCTCAGGACGCAGTACTTCATCACGCAGCTCGTGATGTCGTGGCGGAACGTCGCGAAGTTCAAAGAGATCTCCCAGGAGATGCACCGACAGCTGGACATCATCGCCGCGGCGGCGAGCATCTCCGCGCACGGGATGATCAGCGAGGAGTTCACGCAGGCGGAGGAGCTGAAGAAGACGGTCGACGACATGGGCGGCCCCGACGTCGTCGCGAGAGACCCGGAGCTGCGCGCGCGGGCGATCGAGCGTCTGAAAGCGTCCGACGCGCTCATCATCGCGTCCGTCGCGGACGTGAAAGATCAACTCATCCTGGAAGCGGAACGGAGCAGGAAGCACGTGGAGGGTCTGCTCAGTAAGTCCACGCCGGAGCAAAAAGTTTTGAGCGACCAAGTCTCGAAGCTGACGGACATGATGCAGCAGCTCCTGAGCTTCCGCGCTGGGATCGGGCCGGACGGTCTTCCGCTGCCGGCGCCCGTCGCGCCCGTCGCGCCCGTCGCGCCCGTCGCGCCCGTCGCGCCCGTCGCGCCCGTCGCGCCCGTCGCGCCGCCGCCGCCCGCGGCGGCGCCGGCGGCGGCGCCCGCGGCCGCCTCGGAGGAGGCGCCCGCGCCCGCGGCGGAGGCTGTCGCGGCGGAGGCGGCGGCGCCGCCGCCGCCGCCGCCGCCGGCGTTCGACGCGGCGACGTTCGAGGAGACGATGAGCGCGGCGGCGGTGCGCGACATCGCGTCTCGGCTCCCGGTGTTCCACAGCGAACCCGAGCGCCTCGTCGCGGTCGAAGAGGCGGGCTTGGAAGACGACCAGCTCGACGACATCATCGGGCGAGAGGACTTGGTCGCGCTCACGGACGCGGCGCGCGAAGAGTTCGCCGCGACGGACGCCTTCATCGGCAGCGTCGGACACAAGCGTCAGACGATGCTGTCGTGGACGCAGAAACGACCGGAGGACGCCGTCGCGAGGCACGCTCCCGGGCACTGGATGCCGATGGAGACGACCGGGTGCAAGCACGTCGTGAAGAAGGACGCGCCGTTGCAAGCGAACGGCGGGATCCTCGCGGACACGATGCGGGACGTCGACACGGGCGCGCCGATGAGCAACCTGAGCTTGGGCGAGTACACCGCGCTCGCGGAGAGCGGCAACGAGGAGATGGGCGCGATGTTTCAAAACCTCGGCGCGACGATGGAGGGCGCGGCGCCCGAGACGAAGCTAGACGCGCGCGCGTCCGCGATCGGGTATCAGATGTTCGCGGACGGCCCGTTGAACGGCTGCGAGACGCAGCACTACACGGGGATGCCGATCAAGCTCGGGGGGAACACGGTGGCGACGTTTTGCGTCGTGGACTCGAAGCGCACGCGCGACGATATCTCGTTGGAGAGAGTTCAAGCGTTCGCGGACAAGGCGCGGGCGTTGCTGGAGAAGCGAGCGGAGGAGAGGAGAGCGGCGAACGCCGCCGGCGCCGCGTGAACGCCCTGATGACTGAAATGGTGTACTGTATCTTATACCTTCGTAGTCTACTACTGACCCTCGCGCGCCGCTATCTTATATTCGACGCGTCGTCTGCCGTGCTCTCGCGCGGAAGAGACCTCGCGTCTTCTCGTCGCGTCTTCTCGTCGCGCCACGTCGCGCGCTGCCTGCCTGCCTACTCGCGTCTGCCCTTCCCCTCCAGCCTCTGACACACGACCTCCGCGACGGCTTCCTCGACGGTTTTCCCGTCTCTCATGTTCAGCCCTCTCAGGGTCGTTCCATACGAAGCGATGTCGGGGTGGAGTTCATAGGCGTCAGTTGGAGTTGAAAGGCGTCGAGGTCGGGGATTGAAAGCAGGGGGTGGGCGGAGAGAAACGACGGCAAAAGTCCTTAAGGATCGGCGTTCACCACGCCGACGCGGTCGTATGGGGACCAGTGTATAGAACGCGCCTGAGCGCGCCGAGCAGTTGCAACCGGCGGCTCTCGATGACCTCCTGCTCGCGCTGCTTCAGGAAGCCCAAGTTGTCGTCCCTCACGCACGCGCGGCACTGGCTCGGCGTGAGGAACGGGTTTCGAATCGTCTCCAGACGCGGGAGCTCGCACAGGTTCGACTCCGCGGCGACGAGCTCGCGCGCGCGCAGCATGAAGTGCCGCATCCGGTCCGAGTCCGTCACGAGCTCGTGCTTGTGCTCGCGCGCGACCACCTTCTCGAGGCGGACGAACTCGTTGTGGAACTGGTTCATGAGGCGGTCCGCGACGCCGCAGCTCCGGTCCCCGGGGTGCGCGGGGCCGCGGCAGCGCAGGTTCGTGATCGACGCGTCGAGCTCGGCCTCGAGGCACGCCTTGTCGTACGTCGGAACCTTCGACGCGGTCCCGCGGGTGTGCTCCTCCCACTCGTCGAGGAAGCGCGCGACGAACCAGTCCGCCATCGCGTGTCTACCGCGTCCGTCGTTCGCGGTGGCGCGCGCGACGACGGACGCGCGCGCGCGTCTGCTGACGCGGCTCGCGAGGGCTCGTCGTTGTCACTTTTGCCTCGGAAAACGCGATAACGGTCGGTCACGGGGTCCGGCTGGTATCGGCGTCCTCGTCACGAACGAGTGTGAAAATCTTCTCGCGTGTTGTCACGCAACGTGCTCCTTTTGTGACTGCAACACATGTAAAAAATGCGCGCACTGATGACTACGCGCGAGAGGATTTCTCTGGGATTTTTGTGGAAAAATCTGCACTGCGTCCCAACCTCGTACGCCAAAACGCGTCTCGATCCGTACGACGTGGCAGTTACGAAATCGGATCGACCGTAGTACGCGCACAGTCATCCGAAACATGCGACGGGGGGACGCGTTTCCGTCTGACGGAGCATAATTGGAAAAATAACCCGTCGTTTTCGAGTCATCGAGGCGAGGCAATATTATTCTTTTTTCTCCGAGATGCGGACGCGAAAAGCACTTTGTCGCGCGCGACCCACGCGCGCGCGCGGTGCTTAGCACCATGGCCCCAACGAACTTATTAAACTTCAAGGGGTTGAGGATGCGCATCAAACCCGCGCTCCGCCCGTTCAGCGCGCAAGCGAAGGCGCCGAGCAGCCCCGCTCGTAAACCTAACGGGTCCCCGAGGAATCACCGGGAGAATCGACGCGTTTTCAGCAAACGCGTCTTCGCGCAACGGCGCACGCCGCAGCGGTACGCGCTGAACTTGCCCGGGTACCTCGAGCCCGGCGGATGCGCTGTCATCGGGCACAGAGGCGACGGCATGAACCGCTGCAGCGGCAGCGGCATTCGCGAGAACACGGTCGCGTCATTCATCGCGGCGAGAGACGCGGGCGCGTCCTGGGTCGAGTTCGACGTGCAGGTCACCAGAGACGGCGTCCCGGTGTTGTGGCACGACGACGTCATGCTCGTGAAGCGCGGAGTGGGCGAGGTGGAGTCGCACAGAATACGCGACTTGACGCTCGCGGAAATCAAGGCGCTCTCGCGCGACGCGATGGCGACCGCGGCGAGGACGCGCGAGGAGGAGGCGAATCGGAATATAATGCCCGACCGCTGTTCCGGTTCAGAGAACCGTTCCCAGCCTTTGGAGCGCTCCAGCTCGACGGAATATTCCGAAATCTCGCAGACGCACGTCGTCTTCTACCGCCGTTTCCCGGTCGGATACGGCTCCGTCCGCGCCCCCGAGCCGGAGCCGTGGGTCATGGACATCGAAGGTCCGATCACGACCCTGGAAGAGCTCTTCAACGACGCGCCGAAGAGCCTGGGGTTCAGCGCCGAGCTCAAGTTTAACGCTTCGAACCCCGCGGACGAAGAGACGATGCGCGGCGACCTCGGCGCCATCCTCGCGGTGTGCCGCGCGCACCCGACGCGACGGATGATGTTCTCGTCGTTCGACCCGGACGCGGCGTGCATCATGCGCGAAATGCAGGATCACTACCCGGTCATGATGCTCAGCGACTGCGACGCGGGCGCGACGGATCCGCGGCGGCGGAGCGTCGCCGCCGCCGTCGACGTCGCGTTGGACAATCGACTCAGCGGCCTCGTGCTCAACGTCAACGTCCTGTCCTCGAACGGCGGGAACAAGGCGATGGACCCGACCGCGCGCTCGATCGCGGACGACGTCCGAGGGAAAGGTCTGTACCTCGGGACGTACGGCAAGGCGAACGACGACGCCGAGTTTGTCGTCAGACAGGCGGAGTGGGGCGCGTCGTACGTGTGCACCGACGCGGTGGGACGCGTGACGAGGGAGTTCCACGACTCGCCCGCCGCCGCCGCGCTTCGCGTCTCGCGCCCGAGCTCGCCGACGATGAGCGATCACGGCCACGGGCACGGGCGGTCGTCGAGGCGGCAGCGCCCGCGGTCCGCGCCGTCGTCGAGGCATCAGCACCATCGCGAGACGTCGCGACGCGCGGAGGCGGCGGCGCGAAGAGCCGTCGTGGAGCTCGCGTTGGAAATTTCCTCCGCCGCCGCGTCGGCGGCGGCGGAGACGGTGAGCGCCGGCGGCGGGGTGTCGCTGAAAGCGCTCGCGCGCGGGCGCAAGGTGGCGGCGGGAGGCGTCGGCGGCGGGCATGGGCGCGCGTCGATGCGCGGTCGGTCTCAGTCGATCGTCGTCGCGCGCGGCAGGAGAGGGATGCTCGGGACGATCATGGACGAGGGCGTCGAGGGCGCCAAGGCGGACGCGTCGTCGTCGTCGTCGTCGTCGTCGTCGTGTCCGTGCGGCTCGTCGTCGCCGTACGTCTCGTGCTGCGGCGCGCTGCACGAGAACGGCGGCGGCGAGCCGAGCGCGATCGTCCGCGCGCGGTTCAGCGCGTACGTCAAGAACATCCCGCAGTACGTCGTGGACTCGACGCACCCGGAGAGCGGCGACTTGCGACGCGTCGACGCCACCGCGGAGGTTCCCGACGCCGGGCGAGAGCGGCTGTTGCGCGACGCGAAGCGGACGATGTCGTCCGTGACGTTCAAGTCGCTGCGAATACGCGACGTCGCGGACGGCGCGGGGGAGCACGAGAAGTTCGTGACGTACGAGGTGGCGTACAAGGCGAGCGGGAAGAAGAACAGAGGCGGGGCGAAGACGCTCGCGGAGCGGTCGCGGTATCGGCTCGTCGCGGAGACGGGCGAGTGGCGATTCGTGGACGCGACGCCGCTGAACTCGAACGAGCTGTGAAGGATAGGAGGAGGGGAAGGATCTTATTGGCGAATGTTTTTATACTCGTCGACGTGCGAGACGACGGACGGAGGAGACGCGAGCGACGGGCGGCTCGATGTACGATAGTAGCGACTTAGCTTTATTAAACGGGCGCGACTCGCGAAGGGGGCAAGCGCCACCCTCATCAACTGAACGCAACGGCGCTGTCTCACAAACCTAGATTTCGAGAACTCCGACACGAGCGTCACTCCACGACGCACCGTCGACCGTCGCCGTCATGTCCCTCGCCGTCTCCGCCTCGCTCATCGCGCCTCGCGCCGGTCTCGCCGTCGCGCGCGGCGACGCGCGCGCGCGTCGCGCGCCCGCGCTCCGCGTTCGCGCGTCGTCGACCGAAGGCGACGCGTCGTCGTCGTCGTCGTCGTCGTCGTCGTCGTCGTCGCGCCGAGCGTTCGTCGCGATCCCCGCCGCGGCGGCCGTCGCGACGACGCTCGCGATGACGGCCGCGACGACCCCGCTCCCCGCGACCGCGCGCGGCCTCCCCGAGCTCGAGTGCCCCGGCGAGCTCGTCACCGCCCCGAGCGGGCTGCAGTTCTGCGACGCGTCCGTCGGCGCCGGTCGCGAGCCGACCAAGGGCACGCTCATCAAGGCGCACTACACCGGCCGCCTCGCGGACGGCACCGGGCGCGTGTTCGACAGCTCGTACACGCGCGGGAGCCCTCTGCAGTTTAAGATCGGCGCCGGGCAGGTCATCCGCGGGTGGGACGAGGGCATCCTCGGCGGCGACGGCGTCCCGCCGATGAAGGTTGGCGGCAAGCGCGTGCTCGTGATTCCGGCCAAGGTTCGTTCTGTACACTGGTCCCCATACGACCGCGTTCGCGTGGTGAACGCCGATCCTTAAGGACTTTTCCCGGCGTCTCTCTCCGCCCAGGGTCCCTCGCTTTCAATACCCACCCTCGACGCCTTTCAACTCCACCACTGACGCCTTTCAACTCCACCCCGCCATCGCTTCGTATGGAACGACCCTGAGTTGGGATACGGCGACCGCGGCGCGGGCGGCGGGCTCATCCCGGGCGGCGCGACGCTGAAGTTCGACGTCGAGCTCGTGGACGCGCCGTGAGGGCGAGCGACGCGTGGAGACGGAGGGCGGCGCGTCGACTCGCCCTAGCTAGACCTCAGCTATATTTATCCGTCGTCACTACTTACGCCCGTGTGGCTACACCTCTATCTTATACCTCTCTCGCCGTCGCCGTCGCCGTCGCCGTCGTCGCTCGGCGGCGGCGGCGGCGGCTTTCCAGCCTCCGCCTCCTCCTTCTCCATCGCGCTCGCCGTCGCCCTCGCCTTGCAACAGCTCAGCGCGCAATCGTTCGAGAAGCTCACCGAGTTCAGACGTCCGTCGCAGTGCCCCCGCCGCGCCCACACCGCGCACATCACCCTCGACTTGGCATCCTCCAGACCCGCGCAGCGCGTCGAGGCGTCGACGCCGTCGATCGCGCTCGCGCCCTCGACGCGGTCGTCCGGGTCCAACGCCGGGCGCGTCGCGACGCCGCGGTCGCCGCCGCGCCCGAACATCGCGCACGCGAGGAAGACGCACAGGACGACCGCGCCGGCGCGCGCCTGGGGCGCTCAGGACGACGAGGCGAGTTAGTTATTTTCATCGCGCGCGGGTCGGACCGATCGACGACGAGCGAGCGAATGAAAGATGCGCGACGAGACGAGGCGACGACGCGCGCCGGGACGGCGGCGACCGAGGGCGCATCGCGCGCACCCTTCTTCGCGCGGTCTGCGTCTGCTGGAACTCGAGCCTGCGGTTCACGCGAAGGCCGCTGTTGCTGCGGCGGAGGGACGCCATGCTCGCGGCGAAGTGGGCACGACGCGTTCAAAACCGGTCGGCCGCGACGAGCGAAGAAACCTGAAGAACTCGCGCGAGCGCGCGCGCGATCTACGCGAGCGGCGGTGACGTGGCCTTCGACGCCGCGACCAGCGCGACACAACGCGCCGGCGCTCTCCCGCACGGAAGCACCACCGCCCACGCACGCTCGCATCGCGCGTCTACTCGCGTCTCCGCCCCCCAACACACCATGCCGGTGCGCGCCCGCCGCCGCCGCGCGCTCGCGCGCGTCGCGTCTCTCCCGTCCCGCGTCCACGCGTCGTCGCGTCGCGTGGCGAATAAATGGCATCAGTGGCTGAGGAGAGACGACGAGAGCGCATCGATCGAGAGCGATCCGTCCTGACGCGCAAACCCAACTCCCATCCCGTCCCGCGCAGATTTTCTGATCCATCAAGACCGCGTTCGACAGCGCGCGGTACGCCGTAGGGCAGACGGACACCCTCCGCGGGACCGGGGTGTGGTCGTTCGTCAAGGCTGACCGAGCGGGGAAAGCCACCGCCAAGCCAGGGAAAGGGAAGGCGACGAGCAAGCCCGCGAAACTCGGCGGGAAGAAGTAACGTAACGTAACGGAACGCTTCCGGGCGTTACGCGATGCTTCGACTGACGTCCTCGGGGGCGACGACGGCGGCGGACTGAGGCGAGAGCGCGACGACGAACGACGCGCGTCCCGCGACGCATCGCGGAACGCACGTGACGAAGCCCACGCCGTAAATCTCGGTTTCGCGACCGAAGATGGCGGCTTTCGATGACCGCGTCGCGCGCGCGCTCTCTCCTCGGTCACGCCGCCGCCGCTCCCGGCGACGACGATTGTTTGTAAAAGACTGAACGAGACAACTTTATAAACGCACGCACGCCGCCGCGTCGTCGTTTCGTTCGTCCGCGAGCTCTCGCTACGTGTGTCCTAAGTTTAAGTTGACTACCTTCGTGCTAGTCTAGTTAGACTTCTCCCCGTCTGACTCGCGCGCGGTGCCTCCGCCGCGGCGCTTCGTCTTCGCGCCTCGCTTGCTCCTCCGCTTCCCCATCGGGCCGACGCGCCCCCCCGGACCATCCCGGGATCCCGACCGCGCCCCCACCGCCGCCAAACCCGAGCAGCGACGCCATGTCCGGCGCGTCCTGCGACTCCCCCGTCGGCGCCGACGCCGAGCCGCCGATCTGGAGGTCGCGCATCAACGCGGCGACGTCGTCCGTGGCTGTCGCCGTGGCCGTCGCGGACGCGCTCACCGGCATCGGCGCGGCCATCGCGTCGGCGTCGAACGTCGGGTTATTAAACGCGCCGCCGCCGGCGCCCGCGCCGCCGCCGAAGCCTAGGAGGTTGTTCACGTCGCCCATGACGTCGTCGTCCTCGTCGCCGGCGTCGTACGCGGCGTTATTCGACATCGTCATCTTCATCGCCATGCCCGTCCCCGCGGAATCGTCGCCCAACCCGAACCCGAACCCGCCGCCGCCGAGGCCAGCGACTTGCCCTTCCCCGGGCATCCCCAGCAGCGCGTGTATGTCGTCGAAGATCTCGTCCTCGGACTTCCCCGCGAGCGCGTCGCCGTGCATCTCCGCCGCGGTGGCGCCGCCGAACAACGCCTTGGCGAGCAGAGCGTCGTCCACGTCCGTGTCCGCGTCTGTGTCGTCGTCCGTCGTCGTCGCGCCGTACGCGCTGTCGTCCGCGTCCTCCTTCTCCCCCTTCCGCGGCGTCTTCGGCGCCTTCCCCTCGTAGAATATGTCCGCGTACATCGGCATGTCGCGCATCTCGTACGTCGTCACGCCTCGCAACTTATCCGTCATCAACGCGTCCTCGAACGTCGGGTTATCCTCCATCTCGATCTTCGTCTTCCCGCAGCACTTATCGAAGCACGGAAATATCGTCCGCACGATCCCCCAGAGCTTCTTCAGGACCGTCTTGAGGATCATGTACGCGAGGAACAGCGCGATGAGAAGCAAGAACGCGAACCCGTTCGTCTGCACCGCGCGTCGGTCGATCTCGTCCGGCAGAGAGGAGTAGCCGGCTTCGTTCGCCGCCGCCGCCGCCGACGCGTTCCGCGCGAGCTCGACCAAGTTATCCACGCTCGCCCCGGAGGCGATGATCGAGTCGACCTCGTCCGCTTGCGTCGTGTTCGTCGCGGCGTCGTCGTCGCTCCCTTTGCCGTAGCCGGTGCTGTCCTGAACGCTCGGCGTGAGAAAGTACGTGTGCATCCAGAGGCCCAAGAGCATGTGCGCGAAGAGCGCCCAAGGAACAACCGCGAGCGCGAGCTCGGCCAAGTCCGTGCCGTACCTCGGCGGCCTGCGCGCGCACCGCAGCAACATTCTGCGATCGAAGTACGAGATGGCGAACATGTAGAAGCACGCGAAGACGTACAGGAACGGCATCCCGCTGCCGTACATCAACGTCACGGTGATGCACATGAGCATCTCGCCGTATCGCGTCGCGATGTCAAACTCCGGTCCGGTGTAAATCTCGTTCAGTTTCTTCTGCGTCCACGCGGTGCATCGCCCGACGCACCGCTGCGCGCTGGACTTCATCTCGCCGACGACGTTCATCAACGAGGGCACGACCGCGTTCACCATCATCGTGAGGAGTAACGGTCCGCCGATGTCTTCGTACCACAGCGTGTCGAAGTCGCGGTAGTCCCCGGCGAATACCAAATTCGCGAAAATATTCGCGATCTCCGGGATCGCGGCGTTGATGATGAGCATCACGAGCGCGGTGTTCACGAACTGCGCGATGAACACCTTCTCCGCGATCGTCCTCTGAAGCGCGATGAACGAGTCCGGTCGCTCGAGCGGGGACAAAAACTTCAGGAAAAACTTCAGGAGCGTGTTCACGACGGACACCGACGCTGACGCGGCGATGAGCATGATCGCTTGTTGCCCCCCGGGCGCGACGAGGTACGGCGCGCAGTGCTCTTTAATGTCCGCGAGCTCTTTGTTCGTGAACGTGGACATCACGAAGTCGCCTTTCTCCCACTTCCCCGGCTTGCGGTCCGACTTCACGCCGTACTGAAGCCCGGCGCAGTAACACGCGAGGCAGCCGAACAGCACGTCGTCGTGCTCGTCTCGCTTCTGGCACCCGTTCGGGTCCGCGCACGCGGCGAGATCCTTGACGAGCGTCTTGATCTTCACCCGCTTTTCCGTCTCGCTCATCGCGACGCCGATCGGGACCACGGTCATGAAGTCACCGAACGGCATGAGCGTGAGCAATCCGGGCTCGGAGTACGCGACTTCGCACTGCGCCAGCGTCGGCGTGCACACGCGATCGAACGCGTGCGTGCCGTTGAAGTCGGCCGGGAACGTCAACGCGCCGCCGCTCGCGCCGCCGCTCGGCGGCGGCGGCGGCGGCGGCGGCGGCTCCGCGTCGCCGTCGTACTCCTCGTACTCGTCCTCGTCGACGACCGACGACGCGTTCGCGACCGTCCACGGGTAATTCGCGAACTCGCCCCCGCCCGGGCCTTCCGCGCCCTCCGCGAGCTTGACGTCGGACATCTTCACGGCGGCGGCCATGTCGCGCGCGTTCTTACTCAGCGCCGAGATCCCGAAGAACGACACCGCGAGCAGCGCGACGGAGACTAACCCGACCATGAACCGCCGCTTTCGACGGGACTTTTCCGAGACGTGAAGGTTCTCGTACATGACGTCCGTCGGCGGCGGCGCCGCGTCGACCGTGTACGAGTGCTTCCCTCGGAACCTCTCCTCGCGCGGCATCATCCAGCGCGCGAACCACCCTTTCGGCGATTGCTCTAAGCAGTCCACGTACGACTCCTCGTCGTTGAACGTGACGAACGCGAGCTTGGTCTTGAAAAACTTTTGACGCTTCAGCTTCGCGATCTTCGCGTCCTTCTTCGCGACGAGCTTCTCGAGCTTCTCCATCTTCTTCTTGTCTTTCTTCTTCCCTTTTTTTATGTACCGCGAGTGTATCGTGTCGTATATCATCGACAGCGCGCCGCGGCGGCGGTACACGCTGACGACGCTGCCGTCGCTCTTCGCGAGCACCGCGTCGACCACCTTCCCAAACTTGAGCTCGAAGAAACATCGGACTTCCTCCTTGTCCCCCGCGTCCTCGGGTAACCCTTTCACGACGACGGTGTAGTCGCTTATTTCGATCGTGTCCAGGTCGACCCTGCGCTCGATCTGCGCGTTCCGTCGGTTCAGAAAGTACAGCATGATGAAGAACATGACCACGCCGAGCAGGTCCATGAGCATCGAGCCGTACAAAAAGTCCAGCTTCGAGATGGTCAATATCATCCCGTTCCAGTCGAATATGAGCCACTCGCCTTCCTCGACGTCGTCCGGCGCGATCGCGCCTAACGTCGTGGACGCCATGTCGAACCCGCCGAAGCCCTCGTCCCAGGCGTTCGAGTACCCCGTGGAGTTCCTCGCGTGCGAATACGGGCCGTAATACTTCGCCGCGTGCGCGATGAGAATCGTCGGGAAGTTCAAGACGAACAAGATGAAAAACATGTGGCCCATCCACGTCAGAAAGTTGAAGTACATCGCGATCCCGGGGCCGAACTCGACGCCGAGGTCGCCGACGCCGATCTTCAGCGGGTACGTTTTCAACCCTCTCGGGCCTTGGATCCTCGGCTGGACGTCGTCCGCGTGCTCCTCAGCCTCTTGCGCCGAGGGCGGGATGTACTCCCCGCGCTTCCTCGCGAGCTCGCGCTTCGTGAGTTTGCGTCTGCGCGGGGTGGGGGGCGATGATGGACGTCAGCCCGTCCGTCTGTCGTCGCGTCGTCGACGCGGGCGCGCGACGAGGTCGGTTCCTCGAGCTTACGAGCTCACGAATGAAATGAAATGACGCGCGAGAAAACGAACGAGAAGCGACGACGGGACGGACGGGACGGCAGCGACGGCGCCGCGCGGGGCCCACGCACCCGGTCATCGGGTCGATCGTGTCGTCCTTCGCGCGTTTCTTCGCGATCTTCTTCATCTTCCTCTCGATCCTCCGCTCCGCGAGGACCGCCTTGGACGTCGACTTGAACTTGCCCATCGTCCCCGCGCGTCTCGGGGGGGGACGACGACGAACTCGCTTTCGTAATCTAACACGTGGCGGTCTTCACCTTCCACGGCCGCATCGCGGCGTTCACGGAGCGCATCGCGCCCGATGTGCGCTCGCGCCGGTCTCGGGGTGCGCTCGCGGCGTGAACGCGCGCGAGAGCGACCTCGGCGGGCGACCGCGACGCCGGGTATGGCGTCGCGCGGAACGCTCCGAGACGTTTTCCGACCCGCGGCCTCTTCTCGGCGGGATAGACAAGTTGCGCTAATTCGATTCTGACTAAAAGCCCGTAGATATACGAGTACACAAGATTTCGTATGGTCCCGCGGCCTTTTCTTATGTCGCGGTCGGTGCCGTCAATCGTTTGAACGCCAGACGACGACGCGCGTCGCCGCGGCCGGCGAGCGTCATGTCGTGGCTCCAGGCCGCCGCGGAGAAGGCGGAGGCGATGCTGAACGAGGTGGACGACCAGGCGAAACAGACGATAGAGCAGCTTCAGGACGACGAGAGCGAGAACGCGCCGGGGCGCGCCGGGGACGACGACGACGACGAGATCATTCGCGCCGACGCGACGCCCGACGCGAGGGACGAAGCCCGGGCGAGCGTCGCGTCCGCGGCCGAAGACCCCGCGCCGCCGCCGCCGCCGCCCCCGGCGACCGACGCGCCGCCCTCCGCGGCCGACGTCCCCGACGCGCCGCGTCAGAAGACCGCGCTGGAGGAACTCCGCGAGAGACGCGCGGCGAGGGCGATCGAACCCGCGTTCAGCGATTTCCCCGCGCCGCCGCCGCGACGCGCGCCCGAGCCGGAGACGGCGAAGGAGATCCAGGAGAAGACGCGCGATTCGCCGCGGGAGCGGGATCGGGTGCGGTCGCGCGACCCGTCCCGGGTGGAACGCGAACCGTCGCCGCCTCGCGAGCGCGATGACGACGAGACGACGGCGGCGAAGAAACGCGCGCGCCGCGCCGCGTTGACGTCGCGCGCGGCGACGCTCCTCCGCGCGCGACGCGACGACGTCGTCGCCGCGCGAATTCGCGCGGCGACGTCCGCGACCGAACGCCGCGACCGCGCGGCCGCGGCGAAGGCGGCGAAGGCGGCGTCCGACGACGCGACGACGTCGCTGCGAAGGACGTTGGAGGAGGAAAAGGCGCGACTCGCGCGCGCGAGAGACGACGCGGACGCGCGCGTCGCGCGCGTCGCCGGCGAGGGCGGCGAGCGCGCGAAAAAGCTCGCCGCGGAGCAGCGCGCGCTCGCGGCGGCGGCGCAGAGGCGCGACGACGCGTCGGACGCGGTCGAGGCGGGGGAGCGCCGCGCGGAGGCGTTGCGGCGGAGGGCGGACGCGGCGAAGGCGAGGAGCGACGCCGCGAGAAAAAAAGCCGCCGCGAGAGCCGCCGCGCGCGCCGACGCCGCGTCGTCGCCGCGCGCGAGGGACGCGGAGCGGACGGACGCGCTGCGCGAGACGCTCCGGCGCCTGCGCGAGGAGAACGATCGCGCGCGCGCCGCGATCAAAAGCGCGAGGGCGTCGTCCGCGGACGCGGACGCGGACGCGGCGAGCGCGATTTCCGAGGCGAGAGCGGAGGCGCTGACTGCCGCGCTGTTGGACGAGCAACGCGCGCACGAAGCGCTCGCGAGCGAGAAGGCGACGCTCGCGCTTCGGTTGGAGACGACGACGCGCGCGATCGAGGAGCTCAGGCGCAGGCGCGGCGGCGCGAGGAAGACGGGCGCGAACGCGAACGGGTACCTCGTCGACGAAGAAGCAGGGGGAGACGGCGGCGGCGGCGGCGGCGGCGGCGGCGGCGGCGGCGGCGACGACGACTGGAGCGACGACGACGACGACGACGAGACGTCGAGGGCGCGGACGCGCGACCACGACGGCGCGGCGCCGAAGCAGCTCGCGTACACGGTCGCGGCCGCGGCGTTCGGACCGGACAAGAGGATCGCCAAGGACGTCGCGAACGCGTGGGGCGCGGTCGACGCCGCCGTCTTAAACGCGCTCTCCATCGCGGGAAAAAGGGTTGAAGCGCGAGCGTTCGTCGCCGCGTACTTGCTGGTGTTACACCTGTACATGTTCGCGCTCCTGTTCCTCCACGGCGGCGGGCCGAGGGCGACGCATTTTGTCGCGAGGGCGAGCAACTTAGCCGAGGTGGGACGGACCGTCGGGTAGCGCAGAGCGCGACGACCTTAGTTACCGTATTACGGTTCCAAAAATAGCACCTACTAGAGTCACGCCGAGCGCGCCGTCTCCTGCCTTCTAGGTGTCGGTCTCCGACACCTCGTCGTCCGTCGCCTCGTCCTTCTCCGACTCAAAAGCGCCCGCCGAACGTGATCATGCCTCCGCCGGTTTTCGCGCGCTTCGGCGGCGGCGGCGGGCGCGTCAGCCCGTCCCTGTCCCTCGTCTCCCCGACCGTCGCGGCCCCTCCGTAGGTCGCCGCGCCGAAGGAATCGCGCACGAAATCAACCGGTCCCGTCCCCCCGCCCGCGGGCGTCTCCTGAATCACCTCGACCGGACGCCGCGATGCGACGATCGGCGTCGCCGCGATGCGATTCATCGCGGCCTCGTGCATCGCGGCGCCGCGGCTCCCGCCTCCTTTTTGCGACGACGGCGCCGGCGTCGCCATCGCGCTCGCCATCGCGCGCGCGCCCGGGGTCATCATCCCCGGGCGCGCCGGGGTCATCATCGGCGTGGACACGTGCCGCCGCGGGGTGTTCATCCCTCCCGTCGCTGCCGCTGGGGTGTTCATCCCGCGGCCGCCGAAGAGCGCCTCGAGACGCGTCGGACGCGGCATCAGCCGGTTGCCGTCCCTGGAGCCGCCGTCGCGCGTCGTCGCGTCGGAGGACCGCGGGACGAGCGCGAGCGCGTTTCCCGCGCCGCCGCCGTGTGCCGCGGAGTCGAGCGCGCCGCCGCGCGGTCTCGGCGGGCGCATCTCGGTGCGCGATGGCATCGTCACCTCTTTCCTCGGACGCACGCTCGCGGAGCGAAACGTGGGGTGCCACCTGGGCGGCGGCGCCGGCTTCTTCGTCGCCTTCGCCGCGCCGCCGCCGCCGCCGCCGCCGTTCGGTCCCCGCGGCTTCGTCCTCTCCGCGCCGTCGCGCGTCGACCCCGCGTCGTCGTCGTCGTACTGCGCGCGCGCGCCGCCGCCGCCGAGCGCGGCGGCGGCGGCGACCGCGATCGCCGTCGGCGGCGGCCGCGCGAACGCCCCCTTGCTCGTCGGCGAGAACACCTCGCCGCCGCCGCCGCGGTCTAAAACGCCGTTCTCCCCGAGCGCGCCGCCGTCGCCCTTGACGCTCACGCCGAGGAGCTCGCCCCTGACCTTCTTGATCGTCAGTGGGATCACGTGCTCGTAGTCCATGGCGAGCGCTTCCACGAGCGCTTGTATGCCCGCCGTGCCCGTCGGTCGCAACAGCGACGATATCGCGTTGATCAATTTTTTCACCTCCTTCGCCGTCCTCGACGCCCTCGACTTCTTCTCAGGCTCCGGCTCTGGCTCGTCGCCGCCGTCGCCGCCGCCGCCGCCGCCGCCGCAGCGCGCGCTCGGCGGCGGCGAGCGCCTGAGCGCGACGCAGCTCAACCACAAGTGCGCCTGCAGCGCGTGCTCGCGTCGTTTAAACGCCTTGCACCCGCCGATGCCGTGATGCCGCGCGAGGTCCTTCGCGGCGAGAAGCAAAGCGTCCTCGGCGTCGCCCACGCCCGCGCGGAAGCCGTCGCGCCCCGTCCTCCCGCGGACGGCGCGGAATGTCATCGAGGTCTTCGTCGCGAGCGCGCGCGCGAGGTGGCGCATCGGCGGGTCCGCGGCGTCGGGGTTCGTCTGAAGCGTTTTCACGATCGACGCGTACGCTCGCTTCGCCGCCGTCGTCGCCTCCTCCGCGATGCGCACGTTCTCAAACGCGCCGCGCTCGCCGTCGTCGCCGCCGCCGCGCGCGTCGCCGTCGAGGGCGCGGTCGTCGTTCGCGCCGGATCCGGATCCGGATCCTCTCTTCGCCGTCGCCCTCTCGCGTCGCGGCGGCGCGGGATTCCCCGACGCCATCGCGTCGAACCGCGCGGCGAGGTCTTCGTCGCGTTCGCCCGCCGCGTCGCGCGCGTCGGCGCCGCGAGCGACGGGGGGCGCGGGTAATCGCAACGCGCCCTCCGCGGCCGCGGAGACGCCCCTGCACGCGCTGAGCAGATCCTCGCGCAGCGACCCGCTCACGCCCGGACCGTCGCCGAACCAGGGTTCCCATCTGTGCGCGCCGCGCGGCGCGGAGGACGACGCGGCGAGGAGGGACGATCGTAAAGCCGCCGCCGCCGCCGCCGCCGCCGCCGCCGCGCCGCCGCCGCCGCCGCCGCCGCGCGCTTGTTTCACCCCCGTGCTCGCGCTCGGGCTCGACGCGCCGCCGCCTCCGCCCGCGCGGTCGTCGTCCGCGTCGACCGGGACGATAGGCTCGAGTGCGCCGAAATCGTGCGCGTCGCCGCGCGCGGCGACCGCGCGAAGAAGCCGCGCGACCGCCCCCCGCGATTTCGAGCAGTCGTCGTCGTCGTCGTCGTCGTCGTCGTCGTCGTCGTCTCCAGCCGCGCGCGCCGACGTCTCCGGCGGCGTCGTCGGCGCGACCACGCCGTCGCCGCGCTCGCCCCTCGATCGAGTCGCGCGCGTCAACGGCGTGAGAAGCATCGCGCGCGGGGTCATCGGCTGAAGCACCGCGAGGTACGAGGCGCACCGCGACGCGGCGGGCGTCTCGAGCCGCCGCGACTCCGTCGTGTCTCTCGTCCCTTGCGTCCCGAGCGCGTCCACGAAGTGGTCTTCGTCGTCGTCGTCGTCGTCGTCCTCTCCTCCATTCGTCGTCGTCGTCGTCGTCGTCGTCGTCGTCTCCGCGACGACCGGCGGCTCCTCCTCGTCCACGCGGACGATCGCGCACGCGCGTCTGAGCGCGAGGAGGACGCACAGCGCCTCCGCGCCCGCGCCCGCGGACGCGGCGACGACGAGCTGCTCGCCGCCGCCGCCGACGCCGCCGCCGACGCGCGACGCGTGCGCCGCCGCGAGCTGGTCGTCGGACACGAGCGCCGCGATCGTCATCGTCGTGGAAGCCGACGCGGACGACGCGGACGCCGGGCGAGACGACGCCTCCTCCGGGTGCTCCGAGACGAGCGTCGCGTCGCCGAGACGGAGGAGCGACTCGCCGCCGCGGTCGCGGTCGCGGTCGCGGTCGCGGTCGCCGCGCCGCGCCGCGGCCGTCGGTGACCACCGGACGAACAACGTCGCCGTCGCCGTCTTCGTCTTCGTCGGCTCGTCGTTCGCGACGGAAACGGCGGATGACGACGTCGCGTCGAGCAGCAGCGACGCGCACAGAGGGAGGTACGCGCCCGCGCGCGCGAAGAGACCCGCGGGGAGAGCGCACCCGCCGAACCGAGAGAACAGCTCGGTCGCTCTCGTCCACCGCGACGACGACGACGACGACGACGACGACGACGCGCCGCCGCCGCGCAGACGTAAGATGTGCGCGCGCGCGTTGCCCTTCCTGAGCGCGTCCTCGATGCCCTTGAACGACCCGAGCACACCCTCGATCCCACCGCCCGCCGCGCCGTCATCGCCGCCGCCGCCGTTTCCGTCGTCGTCGTCGTCGTCCACCCTCGCGAGCACGAACACGAGCGAGGACGCCACGTCGCGTTCGTTCAGACCGCCGCCGGCGCTCTCCGCGGCGTCCTGAAGCGTCGCGGCCATCTGCCTCGCGAGCGTCGTGAACCACGCGACGTCGTCGCGCGCGGCCGCCCCCGCGTTCTCCTTGTCCGCTGATACGTCGGCGTGATACGTCGCGACGGCCTCGTCGTACGCGCGAACGAACGCGTCCACGGCGTCGCGCGAACACGCGCGAAAGTCGCTCGTCGCGACGGGACCGCCTCCGATCGCGAAGGGCGCCGCGCCTCCTCCGACGACGTCGCGCGCTCCGCTTCTTCCGCCGCGTCCGCGCGCGCCGTCGGACCCGCCCGTCAACGTCTGGTCCACCCACGACCGCAGACGCGAGTCTCCGAGCTCGTCGTCCTCGCGCGCGCGCAGTCGCCGCGACGCCGCGTCCGTCGCCGCTCGGAGGCGCGCGTCGAACTCGAGCGGCGATCTCGCGGAGTCGTAAAAGCGCGCGCTCCATCGCGGGGGATCGCCCCTCGGCTGCCGCGCGAGGTGCGCGAGCGTCCGCGACACGAGGAGGCGGACGCTCGCGCGATCCGCGGGGGACCCGGCGCCGAGGTCGACGAGGAACGACACGCGCGCGACGCGCGAGTCGGTGCCCATGACGCCCGCGCTCTGCGCCCTCGAGAGTGATGGCGCGGTGCCAAGTTCAAAAGGCGTTGGCGGGAAACCCGATGCAGTGATGCTGAGGTGCCTAGCAGAGATTCGTTCATCGTCACTTGTCATCATACCCCGCGCCGCTGCTCCGCGCCCCCTCGCGCGATGCTGCTCCTCGAGGGCGTCGCGCTCACGAGCAGCGGCCGCCCCGTGCTCGCGCCAGAGGAGCTCGAGCTCAAGATCCTGGAGAAGTGCGACCTCGAGTTCGACGGCGCGCCCGGCGGCCTCGAGCGCGACGTCGCGGACAAGTACGTCAGGGGCGTCGCGTTCCTCACGACGCATCGACTGATATGGCTCGACCAGGCGTCGCTCCCGACGCCGGGGCGGTCGTGCAGCCTGCGCTTGGAGCGAATAACGAAGTGGGGGCCCGTCGCGAAGGGCGTGTTCAGCACGTCGAAAGCGAAGCGCGTGCGATTCCAGCTGCGCGCGAAGGTGGTCAGCGCGAGGGACGACGGCGGGGAGATTCGAACGGCGTTTCGCGGCGAGCCCCCGGACGCGTTCACGAAGGCGCTCGCGGAGGCGATGCTCGCCAAGGCGTGGCTCGCGGAGCCGCCGGTGGCGTCGTCGAGCGGCAGAGGGGGTACCGCGGGGAGGAACGGCGGCGGCGGCGGCGGCGGCGGCGCGAACGGAGGAGGAGGAGGAGGAGGAGGAGGAGGAGGAGGAACGATGCCCAACGCGAGAACCGCGGGCGTCGCCGGCATCTTACTGCGGCAGCGACAAGAGCGCGCGGCGACGGAGGCCGCGCTCGGCGAGGCGTTCACGGACATGACCGCGCTCATGACGAAAGCGAAGGAGATGGTCGTTCTCGCGGAGCGATTCGCGGGCGCGATCGGCGGCGGCGGCGCGGGAGGGAACGGCGGGAACGGCGGGAACGGCGGGAACGGCGCGGCGTCGTCCTCCGCGGACGAGAGGAACGAGTTGGAGACGATGCTGATGTCCGTGGGGATCCGGTCCCCGGTCACGCGCGACACCGCGGGGGCGCTGTACCACCAGCAGCTCGCGCGTCAGCTCGCGGACTGGCTCCCGCCCGTCCTGGAGAACTACGGAGGGATACTGCCGCTGCCGGACGTGTACTGTCTGTTCAACCGCGCGCGCGGCGCCGAGCTGATATCGCCGGACGATCTGCTCAGGGCGTGCAAGCTGTGGGAGAAGCTCCGGTCGCCGGTGCAGTTCCGGAGGTTCGACAGCGGCGTCGCGGTCGTGCAATCGCTGGACCGGAGCGACGACGAGGTGTGCGCGCTGCTCGCGCGCGTGATGGCGGAGAAGAGCGCGGAGGACGGCGACGACGGCGGCGGCGGCGGAGGAGGAGGAGGAGGAGGAGGAGGAGGAGGAAAGACTAAAAAGACGCTGTCGCGCTTGGACGCGTACGGGGCGAGCGACGCGCTGGGCATCCCGCCCGCGGTCGCGGGGGAGTACCTCGCGATGGCGGAGGGGCACGGGATCTTGTGCAGGGACGAGGCGCCGGAGGCGACGTATTACTACCGGAACTTCTTCGCGGAGTGTAGCTACTAGTAGGCTGGCGGCCAGAGAGGACGGCGCGCGATCGTTCGATCGACCGATCGTTCCGAGGGGAAAAGTCCTTAAGGATCGGCGTTCACCACGCGAACGCGGTCGTATGGGGACCAGTGTATAGAATCTGATCCGTTTGAACGGATGGAAGAACCGTCGATTCTGATTTCAATGCAAACCGGCGTCGTCCGCGAGCGCCGTTCGGGTCTGCCGACCCCTTCTCGACCGGCCCGCGACCGCCGAGCGCGAGAGCGACGCCACTCGTCGCCGCCGACGAGCCGACGCGGGCTCGCGCGGGACCCACCCCCGCGATGTATCGCCCCGCGTCCGCCCGCCCGCGAGATGAGATCAAAGGCGTCTTCATTAGATCTGGTCGACGTCGTCGAAGTCGAAAAAGTCGTCGTTCTCGTCCCTCTCCTCCTCGAACGTGTCCGTCTCGTTCACGCGGATGCTGTCCGGGAGCTCGCCGTACGCTTTCAGCGAACGCGCCTCGTCCGCGAGGTACTTGAGGATCACGTCCGCTTTCTCGTCCTGGAAGTCGCGCAGGCCGAGCAAGATGATGTCCCCGGTGCACACCCACACCTTTTTCCTCATCTTCCCGCGGATGTGACACAGGCGCTTCACGCCGTCGATGCACTGCGCCTCTAAGCGCCCGTTGCCGAGCATTCTGAGGACTTGCGCGTACTCCTGCCCGTCCTCCTTGAACACGAGCTCGCGCTTCTCGTCGCCCTCGTTCTTTCCCCTGCGGCGGTTCTTCCCGCCCTTCCCTTTGTTCTTCGGCATCTTGAACCGCGCGCGAAGAACCTCTCGGTCAGCTCCGAACCTACGCGGCGACGACGATCACCGAGCGCGTCGCGTGTGCGCGGCGACGCGTGTTCCTCTCGACGGTTCGCGCGAAAGGATCGACCGGATGCGGTCGGGACACGGAGCGCGGCGTACGACGGACGCGCGCGGATGGTAGAGGGACGATAAGACGCGAGATTCGTCCTCTCGAGCCGCCGCCGTGCCTCGGGCGGGATCCGCCGAGCGCGTTTGAGGCGAGAACGATTTTTGCAGGGTCAAAAAACGTTTTCATAGGTGGTTTACAAGCGCGATTTTTTTTGAAAGAACGATTTTCATCGGCTCAGGCGGTCGGCCGAAACTACAACGTTGTACACTGGAGGTGCCCTGAGTTTGCCCTAATTTCGTTTTCATAAGTTACAAGCTCGTCGCCGCTAGCCCCCCTCCCTCTCGTCTCAAATTAACCCCCAGGTCTTCCTCCCCTCCGTCTTCCGCAACTTCGACGTCCCGAGCGCCACCTTACTCGTGTACCCCCCCCGCACGTTCCTGTGCACGATGTTCTTCGTCCTCTCCCGAACGCACTTCTCGTCCTGCGCGCGTCGAAGACTCTCCTCCACCTCCCTCGAAATCTTCGTCACCACCTTCTTCCGCCCCTCGGGAGCATCGTACTCGGGCACGGTGCCGATCACCTTGAACGTCCACTGCGTCTGCGGCGTGTGCACGATGAGCTCGCCCACGATGTCGCTGCCGTACGACGTCGGCGCGTACGACACGACAAACTCCGCGCCGCCGAGCTCGGGGTCCGCGGGTCCCGCGGTGACGACGTCCGATCTCATCGTCGTCCGGCCCAGATCCCGCGCCGCCGCGGAGACCCCGCGCGCCTTGCTCGCGCGCATCAACCCGCACTCCGGCGACACGGTCAGCTCCTGCGGACCCCCCGGGTTGAAGTACGCGGTGAAGTTGCACGGCAGCGGGTCCGGGTTCGCGAGCGTGAACGTCGTCTCGCTCACTTCCCCGACGTACGCGCTCACCTGCAGCACGCCGTCGATATCCGGCTCCGTCGCGCGGACGTGCACGGGGAACCGCCACCGTCCCCCGGACGCTTTCTCGATGACGAGCTCGCACGTGCAAAAATCGATCGCTTTCACCGGTCGGAAGACGACCGCGAAGTGCAGCGGGTCAGTCTCGGACGTGATCGCGGACTTGATCGGCTGCAGGGTGAGCGCGCGTTCGAGGTGCTCTCGCGCGATGTCGTTCGGCGCCACGATGGCGTGCGTGTACCGCTCGCTCCTGCCTCTGAGCTTCAGCCCGGGCAAGCGGAAGGACATGGACGTCTCCAGACGCCTTCGCGCCTTGCCTTCGATGTGGTACTCCGTGCCGTCGGGCGCGCCCTCCGGGCTGCCGACGATCGGGAACCGCCACGCGAGGTCGGAGCCGTCGTCGGAGACGACGAGCGTCGCGTCGTGACGCATCATGCGCTTCGGGCTGAACGTGAACGGCACGTGTAACACCCCAAACGCGGGTAACAAGACGTTCTTGTGCCGCTTGAGGCCCGCGATCGCGAACGGGTCGTCCTCCGCGAACGTACGCGTCTCCAGCGTTAACGACACCGTCAACGCGCGATCGAACGGGTTTTTAAACACAATCTGGTCGTGCCCGGTTTCGCCGCACGTGACGTAGACGTCGCGCTTGGGCATGTCCCCGGGCAGCGCGCCGACGCCGACGGCGGCGAACGTCCACGTCCCCGCGCGCTGACTCGTCGCGGTGATCGTTCCGCGCTCCTCCGGCCCCATGCTGCTCGGCGAGTACCGCACGTCGAACTTCCCGACGCCGAACGGCGGGAGGAGCACCTTGTTCGGGGAGAAGGAAAAGTTTGCGCGGTTGTCGCAGCTCAGGTCGAGCAAGACCTCGTCGTCGAGCGGGTTCTCGATGGACACGGTCGTGGAGTCGAACAGCCCGACCGCGGCGGACATCTTCGGGAGCTTGATCGGCTTCGCCTCGAGCGGCGTCAGGTCGAGCTCGAACGCGAATTCCCCGAGCCGCGCGTCGCGGAACGTCACGAAACCCTGGCTCCTCCCCATCAACAACGGCGAGTACGCCAAATCGTACGCGCCCTCGCTCCGGGGTTTGAGCCTGAACTCCTCGCTCCCTAACACCCCGTGCCCCTCGTGCGTCACCTTGAACAGCGCGGGGAAGTCCGTCGGGTTCGACAGCGGGATCTTCACCGTGACCGCCTGTCGCGTGGCCACCTCCATGGCGATGACGTCCTCGCTCGGCGGCGGCGTCGCGTGAATCTCCAGCGTGAACCAACAGTAGTACCCGTTGGGCGCCGTGAACGTGATCGTCCCCAAGTGCTTCCCGCTGCACGGCGGTCGAACCTCGAGGTCGAAGTACCCGACGCCTCCGCACTTCGCGTGCGCTTTGGACTGCCCGGAGACGAACCCTAGGTCGCTGCTGACGACGTACGTCGCGCCGCGCGTGACGCCGTAGACGTTTGGAATCGTCAGACGCTGAGACGTCTTCGTCCGCGCTTGGCAGTGCAAGATGACGTGCGCCTCCGCGAGCGGGTCGGACACGACCGCGTGTAAGACGTACGCGCTCTTGTCCGTCGTCCCCGTGGACAGCGTCAGCCGTCCGTTGAACTCGCCCGCGCCCTTGGGTTTGAACGACAGCGGGTAGTTCAACGTCTGGCCGCCGGGGACGATGAGGTCGCGCGGTCCGGTGAAGAAGACGTCTCCCTCAAACTTGCTCTGCACCGTCATCGCCCTCGGGCCGTTGTTCACCATCGGGATGTCCTGCGTGATCACCTGCCTAGCCGCGCACTCGAACTCGAGCGACGCCGCGGTGTCCTTATCGTCCGCGTTGAACTCGACCTCGATGACGCGAACGTCGTACGGGGACACGAGCACGACTTTTCCCGGGTACCGCCCCGGACCTTTCGGCGTGAAGTCGATCGGCATGTCGTTCTCGCCCGGGATCTCGCGAACGACCACATCGCCTTTGTTGTTCTTCTCCACGACGGACTTTGCCTTGGCGCCGTTCAGCGTCAGCGTGATCCGGTCCTTCGGAACTTCCATGTACTTGCTGTGCGTCTGCAGACGGTACTCAATCTTTTTCGGCCACGGCGCCGCGCACCGAAGCTTATCGACCTGGTCCTGGAACTTATTCAGCGGGTGCTTCTCCAGGAACGACCGCTTCGCGTCCTCGAACGGCCCGTTCTGGTACGTGAGCGGCACCAAAATCTGCTGCGCCGTGATCTCCACGGTCTCCTTTTTGGTCACGAACGGCATAGGGTAATCCGACGTCCCGTTGAGCTCGTACACGAACGATCCGTACTTTGCATCCGTGAACGTGACGTGCGCGACGTGCGAGCCCATCGTGAACGGTAAGTACGACACGGATAGCGCGACGGCGTCGCCTCTGCGAACGCGCGTCGATCGGCGGTTCACCCCGAACGGATCCGGGAACAGGCTCGAGTCCACTTTCGGGACCTTCGGGCGGTTTGTCGCGGTGAGTCGCGCCGTCGTCGCGGGCGCGACGCCGCGTTCTCGCGTCCACCCCGAGCCCGCGCCCGCGCCCGCGGACGTCGCCGCCTCCAGCGCCGCCGCGTCCGCGGCCGCTTTCACCTCGTCCGCGTCGAAGTTCTTCACCTCGATCGCGAACTCGCAGTCGCCCGGGAACGGGTTCTCGAGCTCCACGGTCGTGATCACATGCTCGTAGCAGCTGGCGTCAAAGTTGAATCGCCTCAACGGCGCCTCGGCGTCGAGCTTCGGTTTGAGACCAAACACGAGCGTCGTCGCCGTCGGCGCGGACCCCTCGCGATTGCACGAGAGCATCAGCTTCGCCTCGCCCGGGGTGGACGTCCGCGGCGTGAGCGCCACGGGCAAGTGCGCGGTCGCCTTCGGGCCCAGCCGCACTTTGTTCGCGTCCACTTTGAAATCCGCCTCGCCCTCCAGTCTCACCTCGTACACGATGTTCTTCTTCGTCGGGTTCGTGAGCTCGATCTGTTTCGTCGTCTTCACGTGCAGCGTGCACGGGAACTCGATGTTCGTCTTCGGTATCAACTGCGGGAGCGTGTTATACAGGAACAGCACGAACAGCACGCGCTCCGCGGGTTTGGCGTTGACGAGCTGCGACGCGGTGATCAGGTACGGCATGTTCACCGCCTTGAGCATCCCGAGAACGCACTCCGCGTTCGCGAGGTAATCGCCGTTGGTCTTCGGGTCGCGGCACATCCCGCCGCCGTGCTCTTTCAGCGAAGGCCAGTGCGACACGAGCGTGGCGTAAAACACGGAGCCGGATTTCAAGTCTGAGGAAAAGTTCACGACGCGTCTCGCCTCGCTCTTGAAGATCTTCTCGCTGTGGTACGACAACCACTTCAGGAGGATGCCCTCCGCGACGGAGAAGACCTGCGAGCCGCTCAGGGTTCCGTCCGGGGTCTCCTTCACGGCGGGGTCCACCCCGGGCATCGTCTTGAACTGCTTCGGGGTGACGCGCGAGAGCACGAAAATCTTGATGATTTGCGTCAACGTCGCGCGGTACGCCGCCGCGGAGGCGGAGACGAACCTGGCGCGGTCTCGGTCCAACGCGACCCAGTGCTTCAGCGCCGCGCCCTCGGTCTCGTCCGGGTTTTTGTTCGCGTGCGAGTAGTACTTCGCGACGCGGCGATCGAGAACGCGATGGAAGTCCATCGGGTCCAAGAGCATCTCCGGTTTCACGGAGTTTAACAGCGCGCCGTGTGCTTTCAAGAACCCCAAGAGCTTTTCGTTTTGCTCCAAGAGCTGCTCCGCGGCTTCGCGCTTCTTCGCGCTCAGGACCAACACCTTCCCGCTGCCGATCTTCCCCGGAACCGGGTGCCCGCTCCAGTACTCCACGAGCTCGGTCATGAGCCTCCCCTTCGACTCGATGAAATTCCCCGGGATGTCGTCGAACGGCCCGATCGACGTCGTGCAGTTCAACCAGTTCATCAGCAGACGCTCGTTCACCCCGGACTCCACCGCGGACGCGGACGGCACCTCCACCGTCTCCGGCTCGGAGACGAGCACGGGCCGTCCCTCGTCGCCGACGAGCTTCAGATCCGCGTTCGCAGCCATGAACGGCTCCAGGGTCAGGAGGCAGTTGTCCGCGGTGCCGCTGACGGGGATGGAGAATCGCCGCGCGTCCTCGTCTAAAAAGTCGACGTCGGCGGTGAATGAAATCGGCTTCCTGCTCTTGAACGTGATGTCCACCGGAAGAATCGGCTTCGCGCGGCCGATGTTCTTACCCTCCGGGAACGACACCTCCATCGGGATCTTCGCCGTGTCCGTGGGGAGCCGGCACGATACCTCGACGTTGCCGTACCCGTCGTTGACGAGGTTGAACCGACGCGTCGTCGCGACGCCCAGCGGCGTCGGCGCGAGGACAACCTCCTTCACGTCGAACGTCAGCTTCGGGTGGCACCCGACGCCGTTGACTTCGAGCGTCTCGTACGCGACGTCTTTGACGTTGTCCAGGTACACCGGGACGGTGACGTCGTACGGCAGCGCGTGCAGAGGTTCGAAGTAACACTTCACGACGATGCTGGCGCCATACGCGAGAGAGCCGAAGGACGGCTCGAACCGCACGCACTTCGCGTGCGCGTCCGGCTTGGGGCCGGCCGGGTTGTTCTCGTTCACGCACGCGCCGAAGGACCACTGCATCGTGTTCTTCGAGTCGTCGTTGTTCGTCAGCGTCATCTCGTGCGCGTACGGTATCTTACGGAACCCCTCTCGCAGAAGAATTCTCGGTCCGAAAAATATAGACGTCGACGGCGAAATCGCCAGCCGCGGCGCTTCGCTCCGCGCCCGCACCGTCCGCTGCACGTTCTCGTCCAGGACGAGGTCGACGCTCCGCAAGAACAGCGGGAGCGCGAACGCGTGCGTATTCTCGACCGTCGGTCGGAACACGAGGTTAAACGTCAGCGACGCGTTCGCGGCGACGACGAGCGCGTAGTCGAACCCGTCGCCCGCCGCCGTCGTCGACGCGAGCTCCTTCGCGGGCGCGCCCGGCATCGGCCGCGCGCCGCTGACCGTGTCCGGCGGCGAGTCCGGGTTCTCGGACGCGCGAACGATCGGCGGGCCTTCCTCGTACACGTCCTCGGACCAGTTCTCGCTCGGGAGCTGCACGGAAAACTCCGGGAACTTCTTCAGGTTGATCACGAACGTCGCGTCGATGACGCTGTGATTCGTCACCGTGACGGGCAGCCGACGCACGCCGCCGACGAAGACGTCGTCGAACGTGAACCGCTTCTGCTTGACCGACACCACCGGCACGATCGCCTCCGCGGTGACCCTACACTTGATGATCTTGCCGCCGCGGAGCTTGACGCACAGCGGGAAATCGTGCGACCCGGGCTCGTCGAAGTAGCACGTGATCTCGATCTCCTTGGACGACGCCTCCGCGATTCTCCCCCGCGTCGGCTCGCACGAGACGGGCGCGCCGTCGTGCAGAGGCAGCACGGAAAACACCGCGTCCACCTCGCCCAAGTTCGCGATCGAGACGCTGCGGTGCGTCGTGAACCCGACCGCGCACGTCCCCAGGTCTAAGTGCTTCTCCTTGAACCGCGCCCTGGGCTCGCCGGCTTCCCCCGAGCACGGGACGACGATCGGCTCCGGGTTTCCGACGACGCTCAACTCGAGATCCGCGGCGTTGACGCCGCCGCCTTTGCCGCCCTCGATCCTCTGCGGCAGCCACGTCACGACGACGGGCTTGGACGCGCACCCCGGGACGACGCCGCTGGATGGGGAGACCGTGAACGCGCACCCCGGGGGCGCTTTCCACTCGAACTCCGCCGGGTAACTCCCCTGGTTCGACAGCACGAGCGTCTCGTCGACGACGTCCTCCCAGTTTTCCTGCGCGAATCGAAACGACAGCGACTCGTTGTTCAGCTTGATCGTGACCGGCACGACGTTCGCGACGACGTCGAACGAGTACCGCGTGTTCGCGTTGCTGTTGACCGTGTACACGATCGGCACGCGCACCCCCGCGGTCGCCTCCGGGACGCGCAGGCGCAGCGCGAACGACGCCGTCTCGCCCGGAGGGACGACTTGCGATCGCGGGCCGCTGCCTCGCAGCCACGGCGACGCCGCCTCCGCGTCCACCTCCACGAACACGCACTGATCCGTGCGATTCGTCACCGGGAAGTACTTCGTGTTCGTGCTCAGCGCGCAGACGGTGCCGAAGTCCAACGTGGACGGACCCATCGTGAGCTTGGCGACTTCTTTCGGGATGAGCACGCGACCGCACTCCTTCATCTCCCGCGCCGTCGTCGGGTGCTCCTTGTGCTTCCTCGCGATGTCGAGCTCTTTCGCCTCCGCGACGTGCTGCGAGATCGTCTTCGGTCGCAAATGTTTCATCGGACGCGCCGTCTCGTTCGGGTCCAACCAGAGCGGCTCGCGCGGGTCCGGCAGCGGCGGTCCGTTGTCGCGCAAGCCGCACTTGTCTCGCAAACCCAACGACAGGTCGTCCGTGGGGTCCACCTTCGCGCCGACGCGCTGCGTCCGACGCGCGCGAAGGTACTCCACGTACCCGCTCTTGTTCCGCTCCTTCGCCGTCGCCTGCTCGAGCGTGAATCCAAACGTCTCGTTCCTGTCCACGGCTTCGTACAGGCGCATCGTCTCGCTCCTCTCTAGCGTCGGCGGCCGCGTCCCTCGCCCGGCTTTGCTCCTCGCGATCGTCGCGCGCGTCACGTCCATCGGGTTGACGTACTTCCTCTGCTTCACGAAGTCCTCCGGGAGCGCCATCGTCCCACCAGGGAGCGGCCTCCACTTCTCCCCGGGCTCGTGCGACACCCCCTTCACGATCAGCGTCGTCGTCTGAATGATCTCGCCGTTGACGCCGAGCGCGTTGATCGCGAGGCGCTCCTTGTGCGCGCCGAGATTCTTCGGCTCGTACCGCACCACCACGGAGACTTGCTGCCCCGCGGGTATGACGCCGCTCGAGGGCGTCGTCTTGAAGAACTTGATCCTAGGCGCGGTGAAGTCCACGGGCATCTCCTTGTTCGTGTTCTTGATCGTCACGAGGTGGTCGCCGACGTCGTCCGACGCGATCGGGCCAAAGTCCAACAGCGGCGGGTCCACGGCGAGGCAGCCCGCGACCGCGCGCGCGGTGATCGGCAGCGCGAGGCGCGTGTCGTGACCTTTGAACGACACGATCGCGAGGTACTTCATCTCTCGTGACTCGCCCACGAGCGCGGAGTCTTTCGATTTGAACCCTTTCGTCGGCGTCGCGATGGTCGGCGAGAGCGAAAACGTGAGGACGCGTTTCTCGTACGGCGCGAGCGTGCCCTTCGCGTCCCCGAACGTCAGCGACGCGTCCACGCACCCGCGCAGGTCCACGACCCCCGGGACGATGTCATCGAACCGCGTGGACGCGCTCACGGAGCTCGCCGCCGCTTTCGCGGCGGCGACGTCGTCCAACGGCGCCGCGGAGCAGCTCGCCGCGAATTCCACCGGCGCCGGTCCGTTGTTGTACACCACCGCCGTCCGCTCTCTCGTCTCGCCGAACAGCACGGTGCCGAACCCGAGCGTCTTCGCGACGCCCCCGCCCGGGACGTTCTCCAATATCTCGAACGTGTGCGGCACCACCGCCGCGGTGAGGTGGAACGTCGTCGGGCGTCCTAATCGCCCGTCGAGGGTCACCTCCACCGGAGTCGTCACAGACGTCAGATTCGCCCCCGGCGCGCACGTCACGAACACCTTCGCGATCCCGGCTTGGCCGTCTCGCGCGGGGCCGACGACGCCGCTCGCGGGATCGATTCGAATCACCTGTCCCCAGGTGCGGTCCCAGTCCACGGTGAAGTTCGCCGGTCGCGGGCCGCGGTTTCGGATCGTCAGATCGGTCGTCACCGCGCGCCCGCCGACGACGACGCCCATGTCCAGCGAGCCGGTGACGACCGCGTCGCCGCACGGCGCGTGCGCGGCGAGCGGCATCGTCGCGGTCCCGGCGTCGGATTGGATGACGAGCGTGTCGTAGAAGGACTCCTCGTGGTCCGTGCTGAACGCGAGCTCGAACGACGTGCTCATCCCGGGCGCGAGCTTGACGGCGACGAAATCGCGCGACACGAGGTGGAACTTCTTGCTCGTCGGCTTGAGTATCTTCACGCCGTGGATGCGCGCGTCCGCGTTCGTGAGCGTGACCGTCGTCGTGTGCACCGCGTTCGCTTCCACGTCCTCGAACGTGATCGAGGGCGGGAACATGCGCAGCCACGGCAGCGCGCTCGCGCCGGCGGACGACATCATCGTTCAGACTATTCGGGAGTCAAACGGCGCTCAGTGCCGCATTCAGCGCGCGCAATCGTCCGGACGTGCCCTTTCGTCGATCGGTCGGTCCGCGCGTCCGAACCGCGCGCGCGTCCGAGGCGTATCGCGCGCGCGCCGACGTCGTCCGAAGCGCCCGCCCGCGCTTCACCGACCGCGGCTGCCCGTGCACGCCGCGCTCGTCTTCTGAGACGCGCGACGATCGGCGCGCGCGGACGAGGACCGAACCGAAAATGGGGCCCGAAAGGACGAGGCTGGAAATGGCTCGTCGCGTCGCGTCGCGCGTCGCGTCGGGTGCTGGCAGGGCTACCGGGTGTGATTTTTCCGGGAGACGCGAACCCGCGACGTCGGCGCGTCGCGCGTCGCACGCACTCACGCGATGATGTTTACCTTCACATAATTAAAACTCCGCGCTGCCCGGGTACCGCGGGAACGGAATCGCGTCTCGGATGTTCTCCACCCCCGTGACGTACTGCACCAGGCGTTCGAACCCGAGGCCGAAACCCGCGTGCGGCACGGAGCCGTACCTGCGCAAGTCCAGATACCACCAGTAGCTCTCCTTCTCCAACCCCACCTCCTCGATCCTTCGCTCGAGGACGTCCAGACGCTCTTCGCGCTGGGACCCGCCCATGAGCTCGCCAACCTTCGGCACGAGGACGTCCATCGCGGCGACGGTCTTCCCGTCGTCGTTCTCGCGCATGTAAAACGCCTTGACGCCCTTGGGGTAATCGCGCACGATGACCGGGACGTCCTTGTACACCTCCTCGCAGATGTACCGCTCGTGCTCGGACTGCAGGTCGCTGCCCCACTCCACGGGGAATTCGAACTTCTTCTTCGCGCTGAGGACGTGCTCGACGGCTTCCGTGTACGTGATGCGCGCGAACGGCGTCGTCGCGACGCCGCGTAGGCGCTCCCTCAGGTTGTCCTTGGAGACGTTCTTCTCGAAAAATTCCAAATCCTCGTCGCAGTGCTCGAGCACGTGCGAGATGCAGTGCTTCAAGTACGCCTCCGCGCAGTCCATGTCGTCCTGGAGGTCCGAGAACGCGAGCTCCGGCTCGACCATCCAAAACTCCGCGAGGTGCCTCGAGGTGTTGCTGTTCTCCGCGCGAAACGTCGGCCCGAACGTGTACACGTCGCGCATCGCGCACGCGTAAATCTCCGCGTTGAGCTGCCCGGACACCGTCATGTACGACGGCTTCCCGAAGAAGTCCTTCGCGTAGTCCACGGACCCGTCCTTACGCCGCGGAACCTCGCCGTGGCCGCCGGCCGGCGTCGCGGCGTCGCCGGCCGGCGGGCGCTCGATCGCCTCGACGGCGGCTTTGAGCTCCAGGAGCGTCGCGACGGCGGCGTCGACGTCCTCCTTGGTCGCGTCGCCGTTCTTCTTCTTCTCCTTGAGGTCCTTCACGACCGCGCCCTGCGCGGCGGCGGCAGCCTTCGCGGCGTCGACGTCACCGCCGGCGGCGGGGATCGAACCGGCGGCGGCGGCGGCGTCGGCGCCCTTCGGCCCGTCGATTCCGTTGAGCAGTGTCGTGATTTGGAACTGCTCCCCCGCGCCTTCGCAATCCGACGCGGTGATGATCGGCGTGTTGACGTACTGGAACCCGTGGCTCTGGAAGAACGTGTGCGTCGCGTACGCGAGCTGGTTCCTCACGCGCGTCACCGCGCCGATCGTGTTCGTGCGCGGCCTGAGGTGCGCGATCCCGCGCAAAAATTCCAGCGTGTGGCGCTTCTTTTGCAGCGGAAACGTGGACGCGTCGGCGCCGCCGACGAGCTCCACCGCCGTCGCCTTGACCTCCACCGCCTGCTTCCCCCCGGGGGACTCCACGACGACGCCGTGGACGACGACCGCCGCGCCGGTGGTGATGGCGCCGTCCGCGAGGAGCTCCGCGCCGGTCGCGTCGGCGGTGACGACAGCCTGGATGCCGGACAGCGACGAGCCGTCGTTCACCTCCACGAAGGACAAGTCTTTTTGCGCGCGGACGGTCCTGACCCAGCCGCGGAGTTCGACGGCGTCGCCGATGCGCGAGACGCCGCCGTCGGAGCCCTGACGGAGATGGACGGTGGTTCGAGTTGGGGTCGGGGCCGGACGACGGTGAGCGAGCGACGACGGAGGGGCGGGCGGAGGGGCGGGCGATCGCGGTGCGACGCGATGCGACGCGACGCGACGCGACTCGAATCGCGATGACGGCCTCGGCGCGGGTTCCGTCGCTCGATGGATAGGATCGGGACGCGACGGCGACGCCGGCGCGCACCTTGATGGCGGCGATGCGCTCGTGGCGCTTGAACGCCGCGGCCGCGGACGTCGACGCTTCGTCCTTCGCGGTCGTGGACACCGCGGCGCGCGCGACGACGAACCGACGCGACGAGGAGACGACCCCGGGAGGCGCCGCCCTGCGCCCCGCGCTCGAGCGTCGCGCGAGGACCGTCGTGGTCGTTCCGACGCTCGGCGAGGCGAACGCGACCGGCGCGCCTCGGGAGAGGACGCCGCCGCGCGTCGCGTGCCTTCCCAGGCACGACACGCTCGCGAGTCTAGACACGAGAGTCATATCTGATGACGCGTAGCACCGCGGCGGGCGTGACCTCGCGTCGTGCCGCGCGTTCTGCCCCGCGTCGGCGACGGACGAGGACGATCCGCGGATTCGCCCACGTCACCGAAAGCGCCTTCAGGAGCGTTCACAGCCTCGAGTTCGCGGCGACGCGACGCGTTTTCCGATTCCGTCGCGACGACACTCTCGTTCGCACAGCCGCCCACCCACGATGTCCGCTCTCTCGTTCAGCGCCGCGGTCGCGTCCCGCCCCGTCATCGCGCGCGCGCCGACCAAGGTGGCGCGCGTCACCGGCGTCGTCGCCCTCGGCGGCTTCGGTCCCAACATGCCGAAGGAGGACTACCTGAAAAAGATGGAAGCGAAGAAGAAGCTCATCGCGGAGAACAAGGCGAAGGCGGCGGCGAAGAAGGGCGGCGCGACCGGGGGGTTTTCCTTCGGCGCGAAGAAGGCGGAGGCCAAGGCGGCGGAACCGAAGAAGAGCGGGTTCTCCTTCGGGAAGAAGAAGACCGCGCCCGCGCCGGAGCCGAAGAAGAAGGGTCTGTTCGGGTTCGGGAAGTGATCTGACGTCGTCGACGCGTCCGTCGCTTCGCTTCGAGTTCGTCCTGTCCGTCCGGTCGGGAGGGACGCGGGAGATCGGAGATGGTAGCGTACTACATATTTCATGTCCATCTGGCGTCATCGGACGACGCCGCGCCTCTGCTAATCTACCGCGCCGCGCCGCCGGCGCGCCGCACGCCGCGCGCCCGCGTCCTCCTCCCTCTGTCGCGTCGTCGTCACAACCCCGCCGGTCGTTGCGGCATGAGAAGGTTATAAAACGCCCTCGCGAAGACGTCCTCGCACTTCTTCCACCCGCACCACCGCGGGATGATCGCCGCCGCGTTCTCCCCGCCCACGTAGTGCGGGTCCAGGATCAAGAACGCGCAATCTCCCGTGCGCTCGTTGTAGTCCACGCCGAGGAGCGTGTACGCGAGCTGCCCGCCGCCCATCATGATCGGCGTCCCGACCGCGTCGAAGTGCCGCGCGAGCTCGCGACCTCTCGACGGCAAGTCGAGCCCGTCGCTCACGGTCATGATCTTGCACGACACGCCCAGGTGCTCGTCCAGGACGTACGACAGCTCGATCGCGCCGATCCACTGCGCGCTCCCGACGAAGCTCGACGGCTTATCGCCGATCCTGCACAGCGTGGACTGCATCTCGTGATGCGTCGGCACGGGCGCCGTCGTGTACGCGTTGACGCGAAACCACGAACACAGCGTCTGAGGGGCGTTATATACAAGCGAACGTCGGGGTGGAGTTGAAAGGCGTCAGTTGGAGTTGAAAGGCGTCGAGGACGGGGATTGAAACCGAGGGATGGGCGGAGAGACACGACGGGCAAAGTCCTTAAGGATCGGCGTTCACCACGCCGACGCGGCCGTATGGGGACCAGTGCATAGAACGCACCTGACACGACCGGTACGCGCACCCCCAGCCGCTGTCGTCGAAACCGTCCTGCATGTAGTGGTGGTAGTCGTACCCGCCCTGGACTAAGTGCTGGGTCCCGCCGACGACGTGCGAGGGAGGCAGAGGCACGCGCGCGTCCGCGTGAACGGTGCGCAGCTTGAAGGGCCCTTTCGCGCCGGCGATCGATTCGACGCGGCGGCCCAACGCGTTCGCGACGCGCACGCGCGGTCGGTCGAGCGACAGGCCCAACGCCTCGTGCACCTTCGCGCGCGTCCTCTCCAGGTCCTCGTCCGGATCCGCCGTCGCGCTCGTCCGCAGCGCGTCGCCTTTGGGGAGGGGGTACTCCACGGTGACGTAGTGTTCGAGCCCGGGGGGGAGGAAGTGCAGCGACCGCGGCTCCGTCTCGGAGGCGACGGATCCGACGCCGCGGGAGACGTTCGGCGCGCCGATCGCGTCGGAGAGGCGTTTCATCGCGCGGAGGCGCGTCGCGAGCGACGCGCGGAGCGCCGTGGACGCGAGCGCGCCGTCCGCGCGGGCGCGGGGGACGTACGCGAGCGCGTCGACGCGCGCGAAGTACTCCGCGCGCGGCGTCGCCGCGTCGCCGCCGCCGCCGGAGGCGCGTCCGGAAAACGTCAACGTCGGCGCCGGCGGAGGCGACGCCGACGCCGACGACGCGCCGCCGCGGACGAGCGGCGTGACGTCCGTCGCGACGTCCGAGAGATACGACGCGATCGACGCCGCGTCCGAGTCGCCGCCGAGGCCGAGGACGATCGTCGCCGGAGGTCTCGCGGTCGTCGCGCCGCCGCCGCCGCCGCCTCGACCGCCCTTGCCCTTCTTCCCTTTCTTCCCTCCTCTCCCCCCCCCGCCGCCGCCGGCCCGCGCCGCCGCCACGGCGTCGTCCCCCTCCCCGTCATCCCCCGTCAAGTCGAGCGCGAACACCATCCCGGGGGAGCTCGCCTCTTCCTCCGCGGCGTCGAGCGCGTCGACGCGCGCGCGTCGATCGCCGCCGAATACGGGCACCTTCATCGCGCACCGCAGCGTCGCGTACTCGCGCTCGAGCCAGCCCTCCTCCGCGGTCTCCACGACGACGTCTTCTATCGCCGCGGTCGCGTCGTCCGCCGCGAGGAAGAACGCCACGCCGTCCGCGTCGTCCGTCGTCGCGACGGCGAGGACTAACCCCCTTGGGGCGGGGGAGGATCTCGACGTCGACGTCGACGCGACGAGGAGGTCGCGGTCGAGGGATCGGAGGAGCGCCTCCGCGGCCTCGCGCGCGTCTTCGCCGTCCGCGCACGACGCGTACGCGCCGCATATCTCGAGTCCGCCGGGGAGGAAGGACGCCGGCGCGAACGGCGGCGGCGGCGGCGGCGGCGGCGCGTCGCCGGCCGCGGCGGCGTCCGTCGCGTCGTCGTCGTCGTGGTCGTCGATCGCGCAGATCGATCCCACCACGGCCGCGGCGCGACGCGCGTCGTCCGACGGCGACGACGAGGGCCCCACGAGGAAGCCGCGCGCGGGGGCGTCGCCGCCGCGCCGAGATCGGTGCGCGGCGAGGCGCGCGGGCACGTTCGACGTCACGAGGACCGACGCCATGGTGCCGCCGCTTCTGTTGTGGCGCGCGAGGAGACCGACGACGATTGCAACTTTTCGCTTCGAACGGCACGAGAGTTCATTCATCACAGGACGACGCGGGCGCGAGCTCGAGGCCGAGGTCACTGCGAAGGGCGCGCTCGACGAGATGGCATCACCGCTCGCGCGCATCGCGCCTCGCGTCGCCGCGCTCGGCTCGGCCGCGCGTCGTCGCGACGCGAGGGAACGCCGCGGCGCGGTCGCGGGCGCGCGCGCGAGGGCGCTTCCCGCCGCGTATTGGATAACACGGTCGCCCGCTCTCCGAAGAAGACGCGCGACGGGAGGCGCGGTCGCGCACGCGGGGCGCGACCACGTCGCCGCGGCGTCGGCGACGCCGCCGCCGTCGAGCGTCGCGAGGCGTCATCGCGTCGACGAGGAGGCGGACGCGCTCGCCGCCGCGACCGACGGCGACGACGACGGCGCCGGCGCCGGCGTCGGCGGCGTGATGTCGATGTCGATACTCGCCGCGGTCGCGTACAACGCGCTCACGGGCCTCACCGCGATGGCGTACGAGGGGTACGACGGCATCGGCGTCCCGGACGACGAGGCGACGCCGCTGCAGAACGCGTTCGGGTTCGCGTTCACGATCTTCTGCGCGTGGTACTTCGTGAGGGTCGTGAAGAAGCGAGGGAACAGGGCGAAGGAATTCCGCGTCGCGAACGCGTTGCCGGTGCGCGTCCGCGCCGGTCGTCCGTCCGTCCGTCAATTAACCTTAAACCTACCCCCCTGACCTGACCCCTTGACCCCATCCATCGCGCCCCTAACCCCACCCCCACCCCTAAACCCTAAACCCCTCCGTCATCGCAGAAAGAAGAGCGCGAGCGGAGAGACGCGGAGCAGCTCGCCAAGTCGAAAAAACTCAGCGCGAAGGACGCGTTCGTCGGCGGCGTCACCGGACTCGCCATCTCGTTCGCGCTCTATCAGTTCGCGGTCGTCATCGGCGAGTCGTTCGAAGGCCGATTGATGCCGGAGTCCTATCAAGCGCGGCAGATCACGATCACGGTGCGGACGATCGTGAACGGGCTGGCGTACCTGGCGACCTTCGTCTACGCGGCGAACGGCACCGGGCTGGTGCTGCTCGCGGCGAGGAAGGCGTTGGATTCGCTCACGGGCGCGGATCTGATCGACGCGCAGGCGGCGGAGTGGGCGGAGCGGGTGGAGCGCGGGGGGGGCGAGGGGGAGGGTGAGCGCGAGGGGAAGGAGGAGGAGCGACCGTAGCGTGCGTACGTAGTCCAGGCTGTCGCGACCGCGTCCGTCGGCGCTCTCTGTTACAGCTGGCCCTAATATTCTGCCAGCGACTCTGCTTGCACGCGCTCGCGCCAGTCAAGTCCGGAGTGCCGTTTGGCCAGATTTTCCGAGCCAACAACGATCAGAAGACGACGCGCCTTGCGCCGCGCGTAGGTCTCCGCTCGACGCGATGTCGACGACGAAGGAGTTGGACGCGAAGATCAAGGCGGTGCACGCGAAGATAGAGTGCGTCCTCGGCCTCGCGATCGCTCCGCGCGCGCGCGCGTCCTCGAGCCGCGTTTAAAAAACACGATGAAGTATGCGCCGCGGCGTGCGCCCTCTCCGCTGACACGCGCCGTCTCGTTTCCTCCTCCTCCCACCCCAGGTCCGGTCTCAAGGATGACGCGAAGATCTCCGGCGACCCCGCGGACGCGACCGCGCACCTGAAAGCCGTCACGAAGAAGATGGCCGAGAGCAAGGTCCTCATCAAGGAGTACGAGCGCGTCGCGAAGGAGGACCCGAGCGCAGACTTGGACGCCATCGCGGACCGAAAGCGCGACTTCGTGAAGGAGCTGAACCGGTACGTGAACCAGAAGAAGTCGCTCCAGGCGGACATCGCCGCGAAGGCGGCGATGGCGGACGATAAAGCGCCGGAAGCCGCGGCCGCGGGTTTCGCCGCCGCCGCGGCCGCGAAGGCGGCGTCGAGCGGGAAGGACGCGGGCTCGGGCGAAAAAGGCGGAGTAGGAAAGAGGGAAGAGCCCGCGAGCGAGATCTCGCCCGCGGAGGACGCCGCGCTCCCGCCGATGCCGCCGCCGCCGCCGACGACGTCGAAGAAGAAGAAGAGAGGCGAGGTGGTCGAACCCACGGACGTGGAGCTGCAAACGATGGAGATGGCGCAGGTGGTGGACTACGGACGGAGTAAGATGCGCGAGACGGAGGAGAGCGTCGCGCGGTCGCGGAAACAAGTCGCGCAGACGATCGAGTTGGGGACGCTCACCGCGGCGTCGCTCTCGAAGCAGACGGCGCAGATGGAGAAGGTCGTGGACGACTTGGACGAGATTCACTTCTCGCTGAAGAAGTCCATGAAGGTGATAAAGTCGCTGACGAAAGCCTTGGCCACGGACAAGTGCATCATGACGTTGATGTTCATAATGACGTGCGGGATCGTCGCGGTGATCATCGTCAACGTGACGGGGATCACCGACGACGACGACGCGCCGCCGCCGTCCCCGGAGCCGCCCGCGCGACGGCGGCTGCTGGTCGCCGCGCCGCCGAGTTTGCACGCGGCCGGGGGTGGGGCGTGGGAGAGGTGGGGCGGCGAGGAAGGCGACGGCGACGGCGGGTGGTTCGGGAAGGCGTATCGCGACGCCGCCGCGGCGAGGGACGCGCGGTTATGATCGTGAAGACGTCACCAGAGAATTCGTTCGCTCATCGCTACGCCGCTTTCGGGCGTTTACGCTCGGGGGCGTCCGACCCCGACCCCGATCCCTCGTCGTCTTCGTCCGCCGCGGGCTCGATCTCCCCGTCTTCGGGCGCGGGCGGCGGCGGCGGCGGCGCGTCCTCCTCCGCCTCCTCCTCCGCGGCGGCGATCTCTTCCGACGTCGGCGTCCTCTCGATCGGGGGAAGAAAAAGTTCTCCGTACGCGACGTGATCTCCGTCACGTAACGTGATCTCCGTGATCTCCGTGACGTGATCTCCGTCGTCGTCGGACTCGGACTCGGACTCGGACTCGGACTCGGACTCGCCGCTCGCGCCCCGCCCGAAAAAATCGTCCAAATCCTCGTCCGACGCGTCGTCGTCCCTCGTCGGCATCGTCGCCGTGTGCACCCCCTCCCCCGGCTCCCACACGCGCATCTCGTCGTCGATCCCGCTCGTGACGATCGTCGGCAGATGCGGATGCGGGCACACGTTGTTCACGACCTGCCCGTCCGCCTGGAGCCTTCGAACGAGCTCGCACGTGTCTTTCCTCCAGATGAACAGTCCGCCGCAGTCGCCCCCCGTGGAGACGTACGCGTCGTCGCACAGAAACGCGACGCCCTTCAAAAACGTCTTGACGTTTTTGTGCCCGACGTATCGCCGCACCGCGGGGTCGTGGAACAGCAGCGGGTCCTCCGGGAACAGACCCCACCCGCCGTCGTCGCCGCCGCCGAACTCCGGAGACGCGATTCGAGACCGAGGCAGCGAGATGCTCCGTCGCTCCGCGTCGGCGCGCGCCGTCGCGGGCGCGGCCGCGCCGCCGCCGTCCTCCTCGTCCTCGGAGGATCCGTCCCCTTCCCCGCCCTCGCCGCGCCGCTCGCGCGCGTCATCGTCGTCGTCGTCGAGCGGCGCGTCTCCGTCGGGACGACGACCGCTCGCGACGGCCCCCGCCGCGGTCCTCGGCTCCGGGCTCCGGCTCGCGCTCCGGCTCCCCGCCTCTCGCGGCGACGCGTACCCAAACTCCGGGGACGTCTCGCGACGTCGTCCTCCGCCGCCGTCCGTCCCCGGCGTCGGCGACCGCGACGTCGTCGTCGTCGTCGTCGTCGTCGTCGCTCCGGCGAACGCGCGCCACCCGCGCTCGTCCATCTCCCGCGCGTCGAGGTCGAGGTCGAGGTCGAGTCCGAGTCCATCTCCCGCGCCGCCGCCGCCGAACGCCGTCGCTCCGCGGCTCCACCCGTCGTCCGCGCGACTTCTCTCGAGCGCGCGTTGATTCAACACGTACAGGTGCTCGCCGCGGTACGTCACCGCGAGCTCGCCGTCTCTCCCGTACGCGAGCCCGCTGACGCCGTCGAACCGCAGCGACCGCGCGTTGAACCCGTGCCGCGCGGACGGCGCGTACTTCGCGACGACGGGGATCGTCCCGTCGCCGGCGAGGTTTTCGCGCGCGCGCGGCGACCGCCCGCGTCGCCGCCGCCGAGACGCGCCGCCGGCTCCGTCCGCGCCTCCCCCACTCTCGACGTGCCGGACGTCGAATATCCGCACGTACGGGTCGTCGCACCCGAGCGCGAACAGCGCGGGCGCGGACGGGTCGAACGCGATGTCGGACAGCGACCCCTGGACGCTCAGGTCGACGATCGTCTCGTGCGCGCCGCCGCCGCCGGAGCGATTCGTCGGCGCTCGGAGGTCGAACCGCCGCACGCGGCCGTCTTGATGCGTCGTCAGGAAGACGTCCGGGTGGTGCGGGACGAACCGGACCTTCATGCCCATCCCCGCGCGCTCGAGATCATCGCCGTGGAAGACGGATCGCGCCGCCGGGTTATCCGGGGCCGCGCGATCGAAGTATCGCCGGTCGCCGCGACGCGGCGGCGGCGTCCGCGGCGTCGACGCGAATCCGCGCTCGAGGTCGATGAGGCGCACGTCGCCGTCGCCGGACGTCGTCACGCACTTGCTCGCGTTGGACCCCGGGACGAACTCCGCGCTGAAGATGTTGTGCGTGTGCCCGGTGTGCACGCTCCCGACGAGCGGGAACCCCGCGCCGACGCCCCACACGCACACGCGGAGGTCGTCCGAGCCGGAGACGAGGCGCGTCGCGCGCTCGTCGAACGCGACGGCGTTGACGCATCCGACGTGCGCGGCGAGCGTCTGCGTGAGTCGGAGGCCTCGGATGAACTCGGGGTGGCGCAGCGACGGTCGACGGCGGTGCGCGGGGTCCCACTGCCGCCGCATGACGTCGAGGAACGTCGACGAGCGGTCGCGCGGGCGCGCCATCCCGGGCGAGGGGTCGACGCCGCGCGCGGTCGGTCCTCTTCGCCGATGACGACGACTTTTCGTCGTTGTGAAATCAATCAATCCCTACGCCCCGCGACCTTCGTCTCTCTCTTCCGCGAGGTCGGGTTCGAGGCCGCCGCGTCTCGCGCGAGATCGCGGCCGCGCGCGCGACGCGCTCTCGGGGGTGCGACGCCGTCCCCCGGACGCTCCTCGCGCGCTGGTCTTTGCGACGGCGGGGCTCGGGTCGTCCGAGGTTCCTCTCGGAAATTCCCGTCATCGTCGTCAGCGCGCCCCGCCCCGGGGCTGATGAGATCTCGCGGTCACAGCAGGTCGGCGTCTGCTCCCCGCGAGAAGGCACCGCGCCGTCGCGTCGCGCGCGTCTCACGTCCCTCCGCGCCGCGCGCGACGTAGGTCGCGATGTCGCCGCTCTCGCGCATGTTCGCGTCGTCTTCGCGGCGTCTCGCCTCCGCGCTCTCGCCGCGACGCGCCGCGACGACGCGGACGCCGCCGGGCGCGCGTCGATTCCTCGCGCGCCTCCTCGCGTCGTCGTCGTCGTCGTCGTCGAGCGACGCGCGCGTCGACGTCGACGCGTTCCTCGAGGAGTTCACGAACCACGAGCGCGCGGGCGTCCCCAAGGGCGCCGCCGCCGCCGCGGACGCGGGCGCGGGCGCGGGCGACGCCGCGTTCGACCTCGGTCGCGTGCGAAGGCTCCTCGCGACGCTCGGGGACCCGCAGCGCGCGTGCCCCGTGATCCACGTCGCGGGGACGAAAGGGAAGGGCTCCACGGTCGCCGCGATCGCGGCCGTGCTTCGCGCGGCGGGGATAAACACCGGGACGTACAAGAGCCCGCACGTGCACGCCTTCAGCGAGCGAATCGTCTGCGGGAACGGCGACGACGTGCACGGCGTTCCGGGGGAGGAGGAGGAGGAGGAGGAGGAGAAGGACGGAGGCGGCGGAGGCAGCATCACGATCGACGCCGCAACCGCGTCGGCGATTCGCGCGGCGAGGGACGCCGAGCGCGGCGCGCTGACGCACTTCGAGGCGCTCACCGCGATCGCGCTGAAGCACTTCGCGGACCGCGGCGCCGACTGCGCCGTCGTGGAGGTGGGCCTCGGCGGCGCGTCGGACGCGACGAACGTGTTCGCGTCGGACGATCTCGCGGCGGCGGCGATCGTCGCCGTCGGCGGCGACCACGTCGAAGCGCTCGGCGGGTCCGCGCGGAGCATCGTGGACGCGAAGTGCGGGATCGTCAAGGCGGGGCGGCCGGTCTTCATCGCGAAGCAGCCGGGGGGCGGCGGCGTGGGCGGGGAGGAGATGGACGCGATGCTTCGTGAGCGCGTGGAGGAGGCGGGGGGCGATCTCGTCTCCGAAGACGTCTCAGGGAGCGCCGGCGGCGTTCGCGTCTCCGTCGCGTTCAAGCGCGTCGTCGAGCGCGAGAAAGCGCGGAGGTTCGAACAGATCGTGGACGTCACGATTCACAGCGCCGCGCGCTCGGCGAGGACGCTGAAGGACGTCGCGCTGGGGACCGTGGGGCCGCATCAGCGCGATAACCTCGTCGTCGCGACGCGGGTGTTGGAATTTCTCAGACTCGGCGGCGGCGGCGTCGCGCGACGTCTGCGACGGGGGGCGCTCGCGCCGACGCCGTGGGGCGCGATCACGGACGACGCGCTCAGGCTCGGGCTCTCGCGCTGGCGCTCGCCGGGTTGCTTCGAGATGATCACGCCGTCGCCGCCGAAAGGCGCGAAAACGTGCATAGCGGACGACGAAGAGGGCGCGTTTTACGAAGACTTGCCGAATCCGCCCGTCGTCGCGGACGGCGCGCACACGCCGGAGTCGGCGGCGGCGTTGTTCGCGACCGTCGAGGAGGCGTTCCCGGGGAAAGCGATCGTCGCCGTCGTCGCGATGGCGGACGATAAAGATCACGAGGGTTTCTTTCAGGAGATCGTGCGCGTCGTCGACCAGACGAAGCTGCGGGCCGTGTTCTTATCGTCCGTGCCCATCGCCGGCGGCGGCGCGCGCGCGACGGCGACGGCGACGCTGCGAGCGGCGTGGGAAAAAAACATTCGCCCGGACGTCGCCGCGATCGCCGAGAGAGGGGTTTTGAGCGAAGCCATGGACGCCGCGAGCGATCTCGCGCGCGAGTGCGACGCCGTCGTCGTCGTCACCGGGTCGCTGAACGTCGTCGCGAGAGCGCGACGGTGGGGCGACGCGAGACGGTGACCGACGGACGACGGACAGACGGACGCGTTTTATTTATTATTTTTTTTCGACGGTTTTTAGACTGATGAGATTCGTCGAGGTGTTCGAGTCGTGTTAATATGATAGACTACTAGATCCTCCACCCACCACCGCGCGCGTCGTGACTCACCCTCCGCCGACAGTCTTCTTGAACGCGTCCCTGGACTCGATCGCGGCCATGTACTTGGACAAGTTCGGGAACTTCGAGATGTCCATCCGGAAGAACAGCTGCCCGTATTTGACGTACGCCCCGACGGCGACGTCCGCGACGGACAGCTCGTCCCCGAGCAGCCAGTCGCTCCGCCCGAGGATGTCCTCCACCGGACCGAACAGCCCCTGCATGTCGCACTTCCCGCGGCTCGTCTCCAGCGCGGGCCACATCGTCGCGTTCGCCCAGATGACCCACGCGGCGGCGGCGCCTCGCGCCTCGGGCGTCGGCAGCGAGCCCGCGAGGTCGGCGACGTACAGCATGATGGCCCCGGACTCGAAGATGCCGGTGCCGTCCTCCGCCTTGCACCCCGGGATCTTCCCGAACGGGTGCACGGCTCTGTACTCCGGCGACGCCATGACCGCTCGGTTCAGCGTCACGGACTTGATCGGGACGTCGAGCTCGAGCGCGAGCCACTCGACGATCTGCGTCCGACTCCCGGGGCTGCCGTAGACGCTCGGCACCGACGGCGCGGCCGCGCGGACGGGCGTCGACGTCGCGGCTCGGCGCGACGACGCGCGGCGAGCGGCGCGCGAGCCTCCGAGGAGGAGGAGGCGCGCGGGGGAAGCGCGAAGCCGGGAAGCTGCGGTCGTCGCGTGCATCGTGCGCGTCGTCGTCCCGAAGACTTCGAGACGTGCGCACCACGTCATCGCACTCATCCATCGACGCGTTTACGTTTCGTATCCTCTCGCTGCTGCTCGAAACCACCTTTAGGGTAGTAAGGGTTCAGGGTTACTCCGAGCGAGTAGGGTTCCTCGGCCGTTCTGTTTGCCGCGTCGTAACACCCGTTCGCGCGCGGGACCGCGGGCATCGTTCGGAGGAGTCGCCGTCATGAAACTCCCGCGCTTGGACGAGAACACGCCGCTGGCGCCGCAGGAGGCTTCGCCGTCGACGTCGCGATCGATCGCCCGCGCGGCGACGCGCGTCGTCGCCGCGATCGCGGTGCTCGCCGCGTTCGCGGCCGCGGTCGTCTCGACTCGAGGGGGCGATTTCGATTTCAACCTCGCGGGCGCGCTCCCGTCCTTGGGCGCTCAGGGCGCGAGCCCTCCGCGGTTCTTGACGAAGCGCCATCTTCGCCACGCGATCGAGCACTGCATGAAACTCGGCGATCTGAGCCACAAGTGCAAGTCGATGCGCGACTGGGACGTGTCTTTCATCACGGACATGAGCGGCGTCTTCGCGGGCTTCGCCGACTACAACCCCGACGTCTCCAACTGGAACACCGCGCAGGTGACGTCCACGGCCGGGATGTTCAGCGGCGCGAGCGGGTTCGACGGAGACTTGGGCGCGTGGGACATGCGCGGCGTCGTGGACATGAGCGGGATGTTCCGCGGCGCGACCGCGTTCACGGGGAGAGGGTTGGAACGTTGGGACGTCGGCGGGGTGAAGGACGCGACGATGACGTTCCGCGGCGCGAAGTCGTTCGTCGCGGACATCTCCCAGTGGAACGTCGCGAACGTCGTGCACATGGACGGCATGTTCGAGCAAGCGACCGCGTTCGACGTGGACTTGAACCCCCCGATGAGCATGTGGGACGCGTGCAAGGCGACGCGCGAGAAGATGTTTGAGGGCGCGACGAAGATGGAGGCGGACGCGTCGAAACAGCCGAGGGAGAGTCAGCCGGGGTGCGGCGTATCGCCGCCGCCGCCGCCGCCGCCGCCGCCGACCGAGGGCGATCAGGATGAAGATGAAGATCAAGAGGATCGATGAGGATCAAGATGAGGGTGCTTCGCGAACGCCGCCGCCGCTCGGACGCGTGTGAACGAAAACGTACAGTAGTGAAACCTCCAGCGCGGTCTCTTCGGCTTCGCGTCTCGCGCCATCTCAATCATTCGTCCCCGCGCCTCGCCGAACACGATGTCCGCCCCGAACGCCTTCGCCGCCCCCCCCGCGGTCGTCCTGTCCGCGGAGCAAGCGAAGGACGCGCTGCAGCAGACGATGGAGATCCTGAAGAAACCGGAGAACATCGCGAAGATGGACGTGCGTGCGCGGTGGACCCGTCCCTCCGATCGATCGTCGATCGTCGTCCGTCGAAAAGCGTCGAACGCGTCCGAAGCGATCGCGCGTAGCGCGCGATCGCGCCGTCCTCGCCGCTTCCTTCGCCTGACGATTCCCTCCTCGCCCCTCCGGACGTGTTGTGTTTTGTTTTCACAGGCCGCGAAGGCGGCGATGGCGGCGCAGCCGGACAACATCATGATGCTCATGATGCTCGTCCTCCCCGTCGCGACCGAGGTGTGCGCCCCGGTGTTCACGAAGTTTGGGTTCCCGAACGATCAAGGAGGTCTCATGGCGTACATGAAGGCGGTCATGGCGCACAAGGACGACGCGGAGATCGCGGCGTTAGGGAAGGAGATGCGCGCGACGTTCGTCCCGGAGGCGCTCGCGGCGACGGTGAACATGATGCTGTCGGGCGGGATGTGATGACCGCGATGGTGGAGACTCGAGGAAGGCGAACGGTTTTTCTTCAACCGCGACGCGACGCGACGCTTAGCACCAACCATTCTTATACGCACGCGAGACACATCAGACGACGACGACGACGACGACTACGATGTTACGATGGGCATTACAAGACGGCGCGCCGGACGGACGCGACGTCACCTCCCCGGCGCGCGGCCCACCGCCCGCGCCGGCGCCACCGACGGCGTCCGCGCGCCCCCCGCGCCCGCGCCGACGCCCGCGCTCACCCCCGCGCTCACCCCCGCGCCACCAGCGCCGTTCGACGCGCCCGAGGACGACGCCGAGGCTGGGATGCTAAACACCGCGTCCTCGCCGCCGAGCTCGCAGACCGAGACCGACTCCTCCGGGACGCACCCTGGCTCGCAGACCGTAGCGGCCGCGACGGTGACCGACCACATGTCGACGGCGCGCGCGAACGCGATGCCCGTCTTTCTATTCTCCGCCACCTCGTTCTCGAACACCTCGAGCTCCCTGCTCGACGGCGACCCGGTGCTCCCGGCGTCTCTGAACGCGCCCCAGCACTCCTTCACCCCCGCGTCTCTGAACGCGCGATCGAAATCCGTCCCGGAGGAGTCGGTCTGCGAGCTCGGC